AATAAGTTTGAAGCTTAGTATATATATATATAACTTTATCTTTTTAGAAATAGTTTTTAAATAAATTTTTTATCAAATAATTTTTGTAAAATTATTCTACGTTTGACTTTTTTATATTTATGTTGGGCCGACCCCGGTCATTGCTTTGATGGGCCGCAGCCGACCGGCGTTTCTGTTGGCTATCTTGTCCAATTAAAATCGAAGAATGGGAGAAAACAAACAAACAAAAACAAATGAAAAAAGAAAAAACATAGACATTAGGCATTTCTCAGACCAACTTATATTGTGGCTAACTTCAAAAAGTAAAACACTACACAGATAAAAAGGAATGTAAAGAGCTTCAAAGGAAAGAAAAAACAAAAACTATCCCTTGGATTTGATAGGAATAAGAGGAAAAATGGTAAATCCCAGGCTACCAAAATTGAGGAAAGCTGTCTCAAAAAATGGTTTCATTTTCATAAGAATTGCACATAATTTACAAGGGCCGGTGTCAACAGAATGAGGCACACTTAGCTTGGATTTGACATTTTTCTCTCTTCAAAGGATCACAAAAGAACATGGCAAATAATCCAAGCTTCAGCATCTCTCAATTTATGTTCTATTTCATGTATATATTACACATCAAGTTCCGGAAACAACATGGATGTCACCTTTTCTTATTAACCGAAATGATCCATGATGTTAACCGAATTTTCTCACCTCTTTTTCTCCCTTTCAATCTTCTCTATAGGCCAGTGTGTGTTTCTCATGCACAAACTCACTGATGTATCATGATGCTGATGAATACAATTTTTCCTTTCCTAGGCCTGCACTGCAATTCTCACCTACAAAAGCAACTTGTATACTAAGCTAGCATATTGACACAACCTTCAGATTATACCTGAACGTCCTCTATCCTCCTAATGGCTTCTTTCATGGTAAGTCGTTGTTCGGGGTTGCTCTCCGTGCAAGCAGCCCCAACTTGGAGAAGTAGCAGCATTTGATTGGTTGAGTTTGAGTGATTGCTTGTTAACTCTGGATCAATTAACTCTGCTTCTCTTCTCTCAGAAATTGCAGTGAAGACCCATTGCACTACATCGGTCCCACCCTTGCCATTACTGTGATACTGAGAAGGGAATTTTCCAGTGATGATTTCCAGAATGATGATTCCAAGGCAGTAAACGTCCGTTTTCTGTGATATTTTCTGGTAAATTACGTAATCAGGAGTTTTGTAGGCAAACATTGTTTGCATGGCGTAGTTTGGGTTGATGAGTGCATGAAAGGCAAAGTCGCTTAGGAGTGGCTCGTAATTGTCAGCTAGTAGAACATTGCTGGATTTAAGGTTTCCATGTGGCAAGTCTTCGGTAGAAAATTCAGAATATAGAAAGCCCAACCCTCGTGCAATTCCCTTCACAATGTTCAAACGGATGGGCCAGCTCAGGTCTGCATGACTCATTCCTCTATCACCTGAAAAACATCATATACCACACCCCTTAACAATATCATGCATGCATGTATCTAAACCGGGAAAAGGGAAAAACCAAAAACCTCAATAGAGAATACCACAATGGAAATAATAATTACTAAGCAACAAGTGCATTTGCATGCAATGATATGTACTTAAATTATTTTTCTGAGAGGGACCCAAATGTCTGGGGGATTCATTTTAATTGTCATTTTGATAACCTTATTATAAATCAAACTTTATAACAAGAAGGAGAGAGTAGAGAACGTGATACCATGCAAGACATATAACAAGCTTCCTTTGGGCATGTATTCGGTGACAAACAACTTCTCCTCCCTTCGGTAATGGTAGGCCAAAGGCGTCATAATGTTACTGTTTCTGAGTCTCCCAAAGCGTCTCATCTCAGCATCAAAGATATCTCTGCTTACTTTATTCATCTCGCGCATACGCTTAACCACCACAGACAACCCATTAGCCATGGCAGCTTTATAAGCCGAACCTAACCCACCATTTCCTAAAACCTCAGCAGCAGCTTTCATCAAATCGGGTAACCCAAACACACCCTTCTCATCATTCACCATAACAAGGTCACCCATCCCGCTACGAGACGACCCTTTCTTCGATTCCTTTTTGCTTCCTTCTGAAGCCCTGCTGTGGTTGGAACTCGGCACGTGCACCTGCACCACCTCATCCGCGTTCCCCCTACTCGTCACGCTGAAATCATCCTCGTGTCCACGCTTCGCCTTCGCCACCATGAAAACCGCCGCCAAAACGGCGGCAATAATGAGAATTATAATCACCTTCATTCCCCAACCCGACCCTTGTCCACCTTCAGGGCTTTCCGCGGCGCCACACTCTTCATCCAGAGGCTTTCCGCAGAGCCCATCGTTGCCGGAGAACGAATTCGCGTCGAACCTCGACATGGTACTAGGAATCTCCCCTTCTAACTTGTTGTTCGACATGTCCAAGGATTTGATATCCTGCGTGAGTGGGGGGATTGGGCCAGAGAACTCGTTGTTCTCGAGGTGCAACTCGACGAGAAAACGAAGCGTGGTTAACGAGTCGGGTATGTTGCCGGAGAATTTGTTGTCGGAGATCCATACTTTCTTCAAAGAAGCTAGATGGGAAAAGAAATCAGAAGGAATGGGTCCAGAGAACTGGTTATGAGTTAGGTAAAGAGCCTTGAGAGTTCCGAGTTTGTTGAAGCTGGGAATTGGGCCAGTGAAGGAGTTGTTGACGAAGCTAATGGATCGAAGGGTGCGGATCTCTAGGATAGAGTCAATGTCAATGGTGCCAGAGAGGCCCAAGTCGGCAAGATGGAGGCTGGTGATGATGTTGTTGAAGCAGATAACGCCGACCCACTTGGAAGTGCAAGGGTTCTGGTTTGGGAGCCAAGAGGAGAGGGGTTGGGAGTTGGTGAAGGATTGTTTGAGTTTTAGGAGAGCTTCGGATTCTGAGAGGGAGAGAGAGGGAGAGAGAGAGAGGGAGAGAGAGAGAATGAGGAAGAAAAGGAAGCGAACAGCGGCCATTGCCGAGCCGGAAAAATTATGCGTCCGGATAGAAATGGGCCGCCGCTCGGAGAGATTGAGGTAGTCTTTCTTTTTTTTGTTTTGTTGGATTTTTGGGGAATGGGATTGGGAACGTTGAGAGGAGGAATTGGTGATGGAGCTTCCGCAAGTCTAAGATTAGATGCTTCACTGGATCTGGATGTGCCTCCTTCATATGTTTCCCTTTCATTTTGATACCATTGACCCTGTCAGCTCCATTTCCGGCCTAAACCCCCCCGCTTTTTTATCTCCCTCTATTTCGCTTCCCTTTTTTTTCAATTTTACATTTTTATCTACTTTATGCTCTAGACTCTGCACTGCCTTCCTTTCTTTTCTAGGCTCAACTCTATATTTATTGTTGAACCATTTGGCATTACTTTTGATGAAAACCTGTACTTGTTTAATGTTTGTTGTTACAAGAATCATAATGATATTCTCCCGCTACTATTTAGAGAAGATTACGAAAGAAAGACAACAAATCTAAATAAATGGATCTTCACAAATTTTTTTCTATGATTGCTTCTGTGCCTTTTTTTTTTAAATTATCTAGAGCAATCACTCTCGTACTAGTGGTCAGTTTGGAGGAAGTGGACGACTGAAGCTTGACACTCCTTTTGTTACACTTCGGATGGTTCTTCTGAGGAAAACTTCTTGATGTATTCTCTGTATCAAAATAATTTGTTCTGTTTAAATGAAATCATATCATAATAAGCATATAAAAAATGGTTAAGTAGTTCAGCCAAAAAAATTGGCCTATTTGGGGAGGTTGATAATGCAGCGGAGTATGATTGCCTTTCTCAATTTTTTGACGACTTGTCACTTCTACTTTTGGGGGGGGGGGGGGGGGGGGGTGGGGGGGGATCAACGTAACAGCAATGTACATTGAAAGACCTAAAAGCTAGAAGCCCAATAACAATATTACAATAAGCCCAACCCAAAGGATGAATTTGCCAAACAAAAAAAGAAAATTAGACAGGTCCAGATTTGGGCCGGGATAATTGAATTCAGCCTAGAGGAGTAGATCTATTGTTTAATTTGTAAATGCTCGCTCTTGGGCCACATGCCCTTTCAAATCCACTATGTTTGCTAAAGGAAATCCTGAATATCCTTTTCAGCGGAAAAACAACGATCTTTGACGAGAAATTTCGTGAGGTGTAGTCAAATATATTTTGGAAACTTGTTTGCGGGCCATGGCATATAATATTGATGTTGAGAAACTGATATTTGTGCTGTGATGGGTGGTCTTTAAATTTATTGATATGATATTGATATTCAAATTATGTTTCTATACAACTTAAGGATCAATGGATGAATACAAGGTTGGTAGTTGAGTGTAAGGTAATCTTTAGTTTGAGAGGGTAATTGTATGTATGGATCGATAGGAACCTCTCACCAATTCAACCACTCCATTTGCCGAGAGACTATGATACTTCATAGTACAGCAATAGGGACCTCTAATTTTCTGATAATAAATTGAATTTAAGATGAAAGTCATGTTGAACACTAACAAATCAACCTACAAATCATGTGTATCTCTTTTAAACAGTGTTTTGATATGTTAAGGCTTGGTTGTGTTTGCGATTTCAACATTTTATTTAAAGTGTTTGTGCATTTTATTTGCGCATGTTTTAATTCCAATAAGATACGTCTAGAGTGAATTGTAGATCGACACGATGCATTTATAAAGTAGTGGGTGACAACTACCAAATAATTAAAAGCCTTAGAGTAACCACCAAACAATGAACTCCTTTTCTTTATTAGTTCAATTAGAATAATTAAGTTTTAATGGCCTGCATTGGTCTTTTAAATATTTCAACCAAGTGTAAGCTTTGATCTTTGCATTTCAAAGTTTAGACCACTGTATGATCAATGAACTTGTGAATAATGTTAGATCAAGATTATCGATGAGTTAATCCTGTATCACATTAAAAATTGATTTTTTTTTTCCAACAATAGTTTATAAATGTAGGGTAGTTTTTTTTTTTTTTTGTATATATAAATTCATTAAATTGAGATTCTATGTTCCTGTTTTAAAGAGACAGTAAAATTGAGTTCTTTTAAGATGAATCAATCAATGTTTAATGATTATTTAAACAATTTGCAACGACTATATCCAGTTTATTCACAACAAAATTAATATTCATTTCATTATTTTGTACACTAACATTAAACAAGGCTTTACGGTCTTTGTCCTCAAAATAAAAGTCTCTATCACAAGCAGCTAATTAACATCAGATCTGTATTATATTGTTTCTATAATGTAAATGGCAAGCTTAAATAATGATTAGAACTTTTTCAATAAATTAATTAGGATGGAAGTTATCGATCAAAACAAGTTTACTTATCAACATGATTACTGTATCTATTATATATAGCATATTGCCAAAAATCTTTTTATATAACATGCATTCATCAATGTGTTATCAATATCCTGATCAGGTGATGACCAAAAAAAATATGTCCAGGTGTAGTTCTAACAGTGAATTCTCTATCTTATGTGTCAAATGAATAATTTAAAGGGGAAAAAATGTTAGAAAAGAAAAAAAAATAATATTTTTTTGTTACTCTGTCCCAATATGCACCTTCAATATAAAATCGGAAAATGATTCATATTATTAAGCATGCATGCATTTAGAGACCGAACCTTTTGCTAAACATCACAATGACATAAAATGGATTCGTTTTCTTCTTGATCACCCAATTTAATGGGACATATTAAAGTATTGTAGGGGGAAAAAATAGCATAAGTCTCTTATTATTACCTTATTCATTCAAGTTACCGCTAAACGCACTTTCAATAAGATTAATTACTAACTACACCATTTATGTGCCAAGCCAACCGTAATAGCTTATTGCTTATTATATATTAGGATGAAAAAACGAAAATATTTTGAAATAGGAACCACCCCTTAGCTCACGAAACAACACAGGCATAGTATTTGAACAATAATACATATCATTAATTTTATTTTTTCATAAATATACATCCTTAAAATATATTTTAAATACAAAAACATTTTTCTTTGTGAAAAAAGAAAGGAAAAAGTGGGACATGAAAATGTCAAATTCCAAGGGTACCCGTTTAAGGATCCGATCCATGGTTTTGAAAATTGGATCCACTGTTACCCCATCATTGTCTGGGAAACCAACCTCCTTCCAGTTGCAGTTCTCAAACATCACAGCTTCGCTTTCAATTCACTCCATCCATAATCCATTTATTTTTCTCACACGGATCCTTCCCTCATATTGTTACTACTACCACTACTCAATTTCACATCACACCCTTCCAAAGTTTCCTCCTTTCTCACTTTAATGCTCTCAAACGCAACGACCCACGAAAGGAATCGATGAGTTTGGAGTGACCCACATCGCCACCTGTAAAATCCAACTCATTCTTCCAAAAGGGTCGGTAAGTTTCTCAGTGTTGGAACCATGGTGGAGACCTCAACGCTAGGGCGGTTCCACCATCAAAGACTCGACTTTAAGCGCTGGGTTCCAGCATTCTTGACCTCGCACAAGACCCTCTTCACGGTTCTTTGGATCGTCGCATTTGCCTCCGTTTTCATGTGGCAGAGGTACACAGTGGGTGGGTTCTCGGTGTTTGGAGGGGTTCCGGCGAGACCCATGCCGAAGCTCCGGCCGATGGCTTTCAATTTGACGGATTTTGGAGGAGTGGGTGATGGGGTTACTCTCAACACTGAGGCTTTTGAGAGAGCTGTTTCTGCCATCTCTAAATTCGGAAAGAAAGGTGGGGCACAGTTAAATGTGCCTCCCGGTCGTTGGCTAACGGCGCCGTTTAATCTTACAAGCCATATGACTCTATTTCTAGCTCAAGATGCCGTTATACTTGGCATTGATGTGAGTTTTTTGTTTTCATTCAGTGTTAATTTTGTGTGTGTGTGTTTTATTTTGTTTTTAATTAAAATTGTAAATGATATGGTTGTTCTTTTTTAATAACTTAACGGCACAGTGGATTTTCCGTTCAGAACGTTTGGTGCTCGCATCTTGTATAATTGAAATAAAAACTAGCCTTTTACGAAGGAAATAATTTAGTTGGAGAACATAAAAGAGCTCAAAAATAGATGATAATTCGAGTTGCTACTGATTAGGTGCATCATCATTAGCTTGAAAATGCATCTGCTAGACTGATACATGGCAAGTAATAAACACTAATAGATAAAGGGTGATGTCAACCAAAGGATCCAAGTTGGATGGATGAAATGAAGAAATGCTTTGGGTGATATGTACAACTCACGCTTGAAGGAAAATTTTACCACACAACCATTAGATTTGTAATGTTGTGTGGGACTGAGTGTTAGGCAATAGAGTTAGCAAGAAATTAAGTTTAATGTCTCAAAGATGAAAATGATACATGGATGAGTGGTTACACGAGACAAGACAGGATTAGAAATACAATTATAAGAGAGAAAGTTTTTGTAGCTCCCATTGTGGAAAAAATGGTAGAATTTTGTGTTAGATGGTTTGGGAATGTGTGGAGAAGACTCAAAGCAGCACTGGTAAGCAGCGCTGATCAGATGGAAGATAGTCCAATAGTTAGAGTGAGAGGAAGACAAAGGAAAACTATAGGTGAAACTATTGAGAGAGATTTAGAGGTAAATGGTTTATCTATGCACTTAATGCATGATAAAACTTTATGGTGTCATATGCTTCATGTACCACCAACCCTACCTAGTGGGAAAAGGCTAAGTTGTTGTAGCTGTATTGCTGCTGGTTTCTTATGTAGATTTGCTTTGTGGCAAGCATATACTTCAATTCAATACAAGATGTATAATCAAGTTTGGAGCATGAAAAATTAACATAATTGCTTAAACTGCTACCCAGAGACTTGTGTGGCTAATTTTATGGCCAATGAAACCAGTATGATAGGATTAATGAAGAGCACCAAGGACTTAGTTCAAGGTAATCAAATTGATTTTATGAATACCACCTAGGAGATAAGTTCAAGGTAATCAAATTGATTTTGTGAATACCACCTAGGAGATATGATAGCTGGGTATTCCGAGTTCAGACCATATGTTTTCATCATGACTACTCATAATTAAGTTTTAAAGAGTATAATATGGCTTGATTTATCTTTTCAAGAGAAATTATTGTACCTGGATCATAACAAACTTTGATGTTTTCCAACGTCAATTTTCTGGCTTCCTGAATTTCTTGATGCCATCCAGATTGCTGTATAATGTATATCAACAGTTGGCAACATGAATATCCATCATAAAATAGAATATGCCTGAAATCATGAATATATATACATCTACTTTGTGCAGTTGGCATTGAGTGGGAGAATTTGGACTTAAAATCGATGACTCTAGTTACTCATTACTGGATTATGTATATTGCTGAATCTCATCATTGATCTTTTTGGTTGTAGTCACCTGAATTTGTAATTCTGTCTTTCTCTTTGATGAATCCATTGCTTACACTATACATCTCTTCATCTTTCTCATAATCAAACATTTTACTTACACTATATCTGTCATCTTACATGCTGACTAACAGGATGAAAAATATTGGCCACTGATGCCTCCATTGCCCTCGTATGGATATGGGAGGGAGCATCCTGGGCCTCGATATGGAAGTTTGATTCATGGCCAAAATCTTAAAGATGTTGTGATAACAGGTGAGGATTTTTCATCTTGCTTCCAATGTGTGAAAGAGTATAAAAGTCGTCATGCTTCATGACAAAGGCCTTTACTTAGGATCGAATGTCATTGTAAACACATTCAAATCTTTATCTTGCAATACAATCAATACAATCAGATTGTTGCATTTTGAAGAAAAGAAGGAAAATCAGGAAATTTGCTCTTGATCCCTTCATTTTAGAGTCCAAAAAAGAAAATAATATTGTCCAATTTACCTTTTAGTTGATATACCAATATTTCAAAGGCTTAAGCTTATGGTCAGTTGGAATAGTTTCTTGTTGACTAATATTTTGTTAAGTTAAAATTTCAAGATGTATTGATTTGAATAAAAAATGTTTAAATATTTGTTGAGAAATCAGTTGCTTTAGCATTTATTGATACTTCCTTGGTGTATTTTAGTTTGGTGAACCCTATACCTCATTAAAGGGAAAAGGCTTAGCATAACACAAGTTCTTCTCTTTTCACATCAATTCTCATCCAACTTGGACTTGTTAATTAAGCAATCACTCTGAAGGGTGACACAATGCACTGATAAAGAGAAATCCATGACAAGGTTGTAAGCAGTGCACTAATTAGGAGGCAATTGTTATCAGTATAAGCAATTCTGGCACAACACTTTTTTCCTTTTTTACACCCCACTTCTCCCCCTGGGATGGTTAGTGTGATGCTTATGCTTAATTATAAGTTTCACTGATTCCATCTATTGTCATAATTGACAGGGCATAATGGTACCATAAATGGACAGGGACAAACATGGTGGAAAAAATTTCGCCAGAAGCGTCTTAACTACACAAGGGGGCCACTTGTTCAGATCATGTGGTCTAGTGATATTGTGATCACTAATATTACTTTGCGTGACTCTCCTTTTTGGACACTTCATCCATATGACTGCAAAAACATTACAATAAAAGGTGTTACAATATTGGCTCCTGTTTTTGAAGCTCCAAATACTGATGGCATAGATCCTGGCAAGTATCTTCTATTGAATACTGAGCCTTATTTCATATATTAATGCATGGTCTATGATTTTCTGATTTGTTATATCCCTTTCATTAAGTAAATAGTTTTTGATGATGGGGTGAGAACAGCTTCATCTTGATGGTTGGCAATTGCTTAGAAACCAACTTGAAGAGGCTACTTGTAAAGGAAGTCATAAAATAGAGGATTGCTATTATGTATGTGGGAGTGAAAGGTTAGAAACTTAATCTTGTAAATAATTTGATTCTTCTGATCAACTGAACCATTTCTGTGTACGAATCCCAACACGATTTGATTCAGTGGGAGGATGACTAATAAGGCAGGAATAGGTTAAGTGATCCTTTTTTCTTTTTCATTTTGAGGTAAGTTCATATGGGGAGTCAGATTTTTGGGAAATGTGCCTTCAAGTCTCTGGATGATTAATTTTGGAATTTAGTTTTATAATACATGTGAAATGTTTGTGCAGCCAGTTGCTTAGGTCATTTTTACTGGAATGATCTATATTAGTTTTATTGTTCTATGAAGAATTTTCATAAGCCCTAATTTCTATGGTATGAACAGACTCTTGTGAGGACATGTTGATAGAGGACTGTTACATAAGTGTGGGAGATGATGCAATTGCAATAAAGAGTGGCTGGGATCAGTATGGAATTGCTTATGGAAAGCCTTCAATGAATATAATGATCCGAAACCTTGTTGTTCGCTCTATGGTCAGGTGAATCCCTAACTCAACCTAGTTGCTTTTTTGGGTATGCCTTTCAGCATCATTTTATCTGGGAAATTTCTTAATATAAAAGATTATTTTCCATTGTTTAAGTTTTCCCGAACACATGAAAATAACTGTTTTTAAGTATACCTGCACAAAATGTAAGATCCTAAATGCAAATAAAGTATTTTGGTAAAATCCACTGTAACTTTTATAATTGAAAGGGTGTAGTACCCTCTCTTATACGTGGAACAATTCTCACCTTTAATTTTATATTAGTAGATAGTGTAGTTAGTGGTTTAGTTTAAAAAGATGTTAATATTCTATTATTTATCTAAAAAAGATATAGAATACCCTTTCATGTTTAGCAGGTATTTTTTACTGCCTCGAGCCATGTATATTATTGGTCGGTGTTAGAATGAGAACTGGCTTTTCTCAAGTCTGAACAGTGTTATAAATATCCTGAAAACACAATTTTCACGTCTACTCCTGTTTTGTTGATCACCTGAATTTTTAACATTTCTCTAATTTATAAAATTCTTCATATTAGCAAAAGCCAAGCATATTAACTTCTGTTATTATGCAATACCTGATCGGGTTTTAAGATCTGATTATTCTGCGACCATCATGAAAACCATGTTAATGTGTTCTTTTGTTTGAAATCATCTTTGGAGCGCCTCCATTTCCCTTTCAATCTTCATAACCTCAATTACGGGATCCAATCAGTCTACATATATTAAATGCCTTGCCTTGATCTGGTTCATGGGCTTCTCTAGTTAATATCTCGAATATAATTGGATAACAGTTAGCTTTTGTTTATGTAAACCACTCTTGGTTAACTTGATGACTGGCATATTAGTTTGCATCTGCCTCATTTCATCATGCATCGGGGTCTTCATATCTTAATGATTTCATTAAATGGAACAGTGCTGGCATTTCAATAGGCAGCGAAATGTCTGGTGGGGTATCCAATGTGACGGTGGAGAATCTTCTTGTATGGGATTCTAGGCGTGCTGTGAGAATCAAGACTGCCCCTGGACGAGGTGGATATGTGCGCCAAATAACTTATCGGAATCTAACATTTGAGAATGTCAGGGTTGGAATTGTGATGAAGACGGATTACAATGAACACCCTGATGATGGGTATGACCCCAGAGCAATTCCAATACTCAGAGACATAAGCTTTACCACTGTCCATGGTCAAGGAGTTCGTGTGCCGGTACGTATTCATGGTAGTGAAGAGATTCCTGTGAGAAATGTGACTTTTCAAGATATGTCAGTGGGTCTAACCTACAAGAAGAAGCATATCTTTCAGTGTGCCTTTGTTGAAGGGCGGGTGATAGGGGCCATCTTTCCTGCTCCCTGTGAGAACCTTGATCAATACAATGAGCAAGGACAGCTGGTCAAGCATTCTGCATCCCAGAATGTAACAGATATAGATTATGATTTTTGAGGTGTCACTGTCAGGTTCATTAATTCCTGGTCTTGTTCCATTTACTTGGGCCTCAAGTTATGTCTGTATTAGATCATTTTTGTGGGGATGGAGAAGTCAACTGAATTTTCTTTCTTTCTTTTTTTAAATTTGTAATTTCACTTCCCTGCTCCATTTCTGAAGTGGAGTTGTAAATACGGAAATTTGTTAGATGCTCACATAAGTTTACTAGCTTACACCAATGCATAGCCCGTATGCTCTCATTCTTTAGGGGGGGATTTATCGCAAGCATGCAAGAGAATTTTATAACATTAATTTGTCCTTGTGGCATCAATTTTCTCGATATGGAAACTTTATTTTGTGCATAAGAAGATTTGTAAACTGAAATAGTACGAAAGTTTAACCTTTTTCAATTAAAAAAAACTCCAAACATAATAACGCAAGCAGTTTGGTTGTGCCAACTTGTGAACCATATAGTAGAATTAAGAGCATAAACCAAGTAATAAGATCAAGTTAAAATGAGTATACATCTAATAAATTGATATGAATGCAAATACACTACAAACCAAATAATACAAGTTCATTCTGTAAGCTAGATATTTCCTATAAGCAATATGCCATAACCTTGGATCTCCAATTCCAGATCCAGCACCTAGCCTGTCACTTTTTAAGGTTTTCTCTCATCCGCCAACTATTTCGTCCAAGTCAATGATTAAACATTGTTTATCGCTATTTCTCAAAAATGTAGAATAACCTCTTTCGAGATATTTTTCCACCTGAAGAAGTGGAAGAAACCATATTAGTTCGGCATTCCTTGGAAACGAGTATTCAAAGGTTGTTTCACGGTTTAAAACCTAGTTTTTTGTATGATAATTGAATAAAATAAACTTACGTGTAAATTACAACAATTCGAACGATATTCCAATTTAAGATGCTTCAACCACCTTAGTGCCTCTTACGTGCCCTGAAAAAAAGTGATGGCAAAAATTACAGCACGTTGATGATTAGTTTGTATTTCTACTTGTGTTGCGTGCAACTTGCACACTTGACTTTGTTGTTGGCTTCAAATAGATTTGACAGAGCCGAGTGAAGAAAAGGGTGGGCCTGGACTAGTAGTGGACTAGTGGTGGGTCGAACTCAAATTTTGGCCACGCGAGGTTGCAATGCATGGACAAGTGTTTTGGGGCTTGTAATTGTTGTAAAAAGGAAGGGTGTTGTTGGGTAAAGGAGCATCAAAATTGAGTTTAGAGTTATGGCTGGGGAACATGAATATCACGTGGATGTGTACAAGTAAAAACAATGATGCATGGATGGAAAATAGCTGTCCAAAAGATAAACCAGATATCATATCAAGTGAACCACTCCCTTAAGACTCAGTCTTCGCCCGTGACACTTCCATGAAATTAATAATTGCTTTGCCTAGAAAATTCAACACCACCCTACAAACCACATGTCTCAACCCAACCAACCACTCTTGTCATCTTTTTCTTTTCATTTTTACTTTAAATCAAATGAAATCAAGAACCCTAACAGTTACCCACTCTCCGTAAACCAACTGTATATTTATGCATCATTTTTATATAATATCTTTTAATTTCTCAAAATACATAAACATAATATACCAATATAATCAATATACGAATAACAAGGTTCATGTTTCAATGGATTTATTTTATTTTTTCTCTCTTTCATTTGGACTGAATAATTTATTTTTTTTCTATTTTTTAGTTAATTAAATTGTTTATTTTTAAAGTTAAATAAATTTAATAATTTTCTCATATTTTTAACTTTATTATTAAAAATTTTACAAATTAAAGTGATTGAATTACTTTGAATCTGTTTACTAAAAAGTAATCAATTAAACTTACTTCTATTTAAATTTAAATATCATATCTTATAAAATTTTAAATGTTATTATATTTCATTTTATACATTTAAACTTATTTTGTATCTAATAATATAGAAATTTTAAATAGAATAAAATCAATAAAGTGACTTCAATTACACTCTATTCAGACTGAAAGATAAACAAATATAATTAAATCTGCTTTAATATATTTTCACGAATAGTTTTAATTTTTTTTAAAAGGTCATGCGTTGTCCGTGGGTTTTATTTGCGCGTACAAGTGTATTGAACTGTGCAGCGCCACAAAACAGCGCGTTTCCCACAAGGACGTCTCTTTTTGCCTTTCATTTTTAATATTTGCTGAGGGTTTCATTGTCTATCTACTTCAAGATATAAAGCGCATGTCTCGTGAGTCTTTACTCCTATAATATTTTTTATTTTTTTTTATTATATTATATCAATTTTTTATTTAATCTTATTTAATATAATGAAACATTTATCAATAATAATTAAAATATTTATTTTTTCCTCTGACTTATTTTTAAATTTCAAAAAGTATCGATTAACTTTTTCCTCTATTGAACTCTTCAACGTCAAAGATAACGGGAACAATTAATGTTTACGAGTGATTAGGATTTATCAACGTTTTATCTCGCCTTTCTTTTTTCTACTGTACATTTGCAGTGAATAGGATTTAGGAACCACAAATATTGCTTTTGAAGTGATTAATTAATATTTTGGATTATTATAAAATGTTAAGCCCCTTTTGTTTTTTAAGACATTGAAAAAATGAAATCGTTTTTTGAATAAATCTTACTGAATACAAAATAAGTTTATTTTTCAAAACATAAAATCATTAATTTTAAGAATAAAAATAAACACAGTTAACTAAATTACATGATTGACATAGAAAATAAATTTGTTATACAAGTTTCTAAGCAACAAAAATATATACATTAGATTAGAGAAACTTTTAGAGTTCGTACAGATTTGTTCAACTTATAATCATACTTAAAAATAACTTAAAATTTAAATATTAAATATCTCTTCAAATTTGACGTGATAAAAATTGTATATTTTATTTTATTTTTTATAAATATGTTAATTTTGTTTAAAATAAAAATTAATTATTAAAAAAAATTGACAGATTATTATGAAACATATCTTACTAAAAATAATATATATATATATATATATACACATATATATATATAGAAAGAAATATTTTTTAGTTAAGTTTTAATTTCAATATATTAAATTTTACCTCTTACATATTCAAACTTATTTAAATTACTTATCAAGGCTGATGTTACGAGAGTTTAACGTTTGAGATTGTAATTTTTTTAATTTATTTTTTTAGAAGAAAATAATAAAAAGTACATGTATTAATTAATTTATAATTTGATTAATATATATAGAGATGAGAATAATATACAAGTATATTTCAAGTTACCTCGTCAATACGTGTTTATTTAAAAATTGTAATTAATGGCAACGCTTAATTATAAGATAGACAACTTTTTAAATGATAAAAGCTGGTGTAAGGAAAAAACATGATACGACTTAAATAGCTTTTTCTTTTGAAATGATGTTAAATACCATGCATAAATTTTTTATTTAAAAAAAGATAAGGACCGAAAGTTCACCCAACAAATGAATGTGTAAAAATGCCATGAAAACAAATGCCCTAAAAGGGTATCTATCTAAAGAGAGTGAGAAGCTATAAAAATTTTATCAATTATTTTGGGCAAAATAATATATATAGAGTGACTAACATGGTCTTCTATTTTATCTTTTATCCTTTACAGCGAATTTATTTTATAAGAAATAATTATTGGAGCCTTTGATCTACACAATTTTGGATTTTACAGTTATAGAATTATATCTTTCCTTAAGATAATTTTTAAGTTTATTATTATTATTTTAAAATTTATTTTTAAACATTCAAATAAATACTTTAAATTTTGTTAATTGCGAAGAGTTGTTTATTTGAAAAGATAAATACTATATATAATAATAAAATGTAATATCCCTATTTTTAGGAGATCAAATGTATTTAATATATATAATGGGGAGGTTAGCACACTAGGTTCGTTTTTACTAACGACTAAGAATTTCAGGTAACTAGCACACTATTTGTTTTTTCCTTCTTCTTTTTTTCTACTTAGCACACTATCAAGTGTTAACACAACAACACATTTAATACCAACTTATGGTAATTTGTTTTTTGAATACTTAAAATAAACATAAAATATTGTTGTTTTTTGAATTACAACATACACTTTATTATTCGCCTCATAAAAATATTAAATATTGCTTTGTTATTTTTCTCAAGCATTGTTCATCGTGATAATTATCTAATAAACTGGAATGCATTAATATTAATTGTAACGATAATCTAATTTAACTTTATTGTTTAGTTGTTGCAGTAAAAAGTGAATAAAAATTATCGGGTAAATTTAGAATAACACACTATTTAATTAATTTAGTTAATTTATTTTACAATCTCGGTTATATCTTAGAATCTACAAAACTCTATCAAACCAACGCACAAGTGGAAAAAAATTAATAATAACTTTTTCCCATGCAAATAATGATATACACATGCACATGACTCACATCTCATATTAACTGGATTCTGATTTAACTTCTGGAAGTTAAAATTTTCAAAGCAAAACGCAACACAACTCAATTCATCAGGTCTTATCAAACGGCAAATCTTTATGTAGACAGTGTGCCCACACACATATATGTTCTTTAAGAACGAGTAATCTCTTCATTTGAAAAATAAAAGTATCAGACGATTAACTATGAATATCTTCAGTGTATATATAATTTTTTTAAGTGTAATAAATATTTTCCGTGTTTATTAACAAATGTATTTTATTTCTGATTCTATTAATATAAATCATTGATTTTTTTAAAAAAAGCTTGCATAAATAAATAAATAAAAAGACAGAAGGGAGGTGCGAGGTCATGCTTGTTGCCGCGGGGGCGCTGGCATGCATTGCATTTGTCCTGTCCACTACATATGGAAACTCAGGGAGTAGTATTAGTTGAGTTATTACTTATAATAATAATAATAATAATAATTGAATAAACACGGTTTCTTCATGTGATCCTTGCCTCTGACCTGAGCTGGTTCATAAATTCATAATGTGAGAAAACAATAAAGTAGACGCATTTATGGCAGTGAGGAACGCAGTCTTTGAAAGTGAGAGAGGCAACTAAGTAATTGCAAGACGCAGAGAACAAAAGCCAACGACAAAGTTTGTCTCTGCCGTTTAACCCACGCAAACAACACGTGGTGCAAATTACTCGAACAAAACTAGAAAATTAAATAATGTTGAAGTGGACCACGACAAGTGCATTTTAGGTCATAGGAGGCAACCAAGTAATTTAAAAATAGCCATTTATTCCTCGTGCCTCAATTACATTTCCCTCCTAATTCCAATTAAAAATTATCACGATTATATATATATATATATATAAGGTAACGCCTTCCACACTAACATTATCGTTCTACAATCGTCGAAGCGTGCCGTTCCATTCCCAATTGCTTGACAGTTTTGTGAAGAAGCCTTTTTCTCTTTCGGATTTTTGTTTACTGAATCCGCGAGGGAAATGTCCACTTCATCCGAGTATTCAGGGTTTTCCGGCCACCAGACCGCGAAGTCGCCGCCAGAGAAGTCTTCTTTCTCTCACACTTGTAGTCTGTTGAGCCAATACCTCAAGGAGAAGGGTACCTTTGGAGACCTTACCCTCGGGATGACTTGCACCGTCGAAACAAACGGTATCGATTTAATATCCCAATAAGCCCTAATTTTCCCCCTTTTTGTTTTTCCTTTCTCCTAAAAAAATTCTGATGAGGCTAAATTTGGATTATGGTCAATTATTCCTTTCCCCCGAGTTCGTTCTGAAAATAGGTGAAAGAATTACACTGGCTTTCCCCCCCTCATTTTTAGGCTTGAACCTCTCTTAGGTTTCATTTTTTCCATTTTATTCAATTTTAATTTCTAGTGGATACTTTTTCTCCCTTCTTATTTGGAGAGAGCAGAAAAATTTAACCGAGATAGAAGATGAGTAGAACAAAAAGATATTTGCCAAAATAAAATATTTGGATTTTGGATATGAATCCTAACTGTCCTGATTTTTCTCCTGGAAATATTAAACATTTTGGATTTTGTTCTCTAAAATTGAAAAGAAAAAGGGTTAGTTTCAGCATAATATCCCTAAAGTTAAATAAACTAAAATAAAATAAGATTTATAGAATACTATTTAATAGGAATTGTAAGAGACTTGCTCTCACTCTGCCATGGACTTTCGTGCTTTCTTTGTGGGATTTCCTGAACTTGTATCTTTCACAGGTTCCCCTGAGACATCATGTCACTCTGCAACAACCATGGAGTTGCTCCCCGCAGGCATGGCATCACGAAACCTGACAACTATGGATTTCCTCTCCTCACACATTGCTTATCCTCGCTACTCAGAGGTTCCATCTATGGTCAACTCAAGGTGAGTTTCTGTGCTTCTTTAATTTGTTCTGAAGTAAGTTCACAACTTTTTTCATGTATCATTCTTTGAGAAAGATAATTAATGAATCATGTTTCACAATGATTAATATGATCCCTTTATTTTATTAGGTCTATGCCGAAGGATCCTAAAGCTTCTCAGTTGACTATCTTTTATGCTGGCCAAGTTGTGGTATTTGATGATTTCCCTGCTGACAAAGTAGAGGAGATAATGTTATTAGCCAGCAAAGGAACCCCCCAAAGCCAGAACTCCTCTGCATATGCTCTCTCTCATACTCAGCCTTCAATTATTCCTAACATCGTCCCCCAAGCACAATCCAGCTCAATTGTTTGTGGTACTTTCTTTTGATCACTGATATTTGGGATTACGAAAGCTAATATTTTGTGTTATGGCTCGTGTTTTTTCTCATCATAAATTTCATTTCTATACAGATCTGCCAATTGCTAGGAAAGCTTCACTTCATCGGTTCTTGGAGAAGAGGAAAGATAGGTATGCCTCTCAAACAATTGAGAAATTTTAAACAAGGATTTACCTGGTGCATTTGTATATAATGAGTCTTAAGCCCTTCAGATATGTCTTGTAAACAGCATAAAAAGTCGAAAAATGAATTGATTCATGAATTAGTCAGGGGTCAGGTGTTTGCATCTTTCATATCCCCTTTTTTTGGGGTTAAAAATAAACTCCTTTTGCCCTCTCTATTTGTGATTGAACATTTGAAACAATCTCAATACCAACCGGTTTGTGAAGTGAGTGTATGACCTTTTTATGTGGTACGTGTAAGTGTGGCCTTCGTGTAATGGGAAATCGATACATCCTGTTATTTTCTTTGTAAAGAAGAGATTAATCCATCCCATTGGGCAAATTGACTTTCCTTTTTTCATACTCCAATTATACTTAAATTGCATCCTCTAGATAATGTTGCTTTGGATGGTTTGACCTAATTGATTAATTTTTAGTATTTTCTTTTGCTGTGTTTTGCAGAATTGCTGCTAAAGCGCCGTATCAAACAAGCAAGCCCATATATGCTCCTAGTAAGTCGGGTGAATCCACGCCGTGGTTTGGTTTAGGTGCTAAATCAACACAAATCTGAGTGCAGTTACATTTTTAAGTAGTCTTAACCAGTTTTTCTCTTTTATTTTTTATATTTGATCCCCTAGCTCCCTGTCGCTTTAGCTTTTCTGATCAGATATGACTATGGTAGATCTAACATTAGTCATATCAGATCTTGGCTCTGATTATTATGACTCGAAATGTCTCTCTTGTAATTAGTATTTCAAACTCTTAAATTCATTATTCTCATTTCTTATATTTGTTTTCTTCATTTGTTGCTTTCCTACGCGCCTTTTGCCGCTAACAAATGGAATTGGATTAACCTAAACAACCAAAATAATCCCATCAACCTTATCAGGATGATAATTCTATTCGCATAAATTTAGTTTGATTCTCGTGTGAGAATTGTGCACCATTTCAAAATGTGAGAAATCAAATATTTTCGCTTTTAACTTCTCCAGAATTTTGTTCACGCTAACCATAACGTCATTTTTTTTCTATATAAAACAATATATAAGTTCAATTTCATTTTTCAAGGTCAAATTTACAAGATGAATCGGCTTTAAACTATCTAATAACAAAAACTGTAGCTGTGAGATAAAATCAACTAACGTTGGATGATTCTACCATCTCTTTAGTTTGAAATTAGGCGAGTAGCTGCTCACAGAATTTTAGATTATATTTTCTTGAAACTCAATAATAATAATGAGTTTTGATAAATTGCAAACTTATAACGATTTCTTCAGTTTAAAAAAGGTTGTCTTTGCAAGGTCAGATTTTGAGAAAGGACGTATTAGATGAATCTAAATACTAAAAATGGGAGTAAGACGTGTTGTTTGCATTTGGAAATAAAACAAGCAAGATTGTCGACATCAAGTGTCTTAGCTCTTAAGAGTATTGGTTAAGAAATTTTATTAGAGATTACAGTTAAAAAAAAAAAAAGTAAAGTCACCGTGCATTGATAACACTTAAAAAAATGATTCACTAACTAATGTCTTAAGCAGATTCATTAGTATATTTAATAATTAATTATGCAAATTATAAACAGATTGTTTATACAATAAAATGATTTGTCACAATAACTACGAGATTTGTATGGAATAATTTATTAAAATTTCTAAAAAGGGACTTATGACTTACGTATGTATTATTTTTAAAATTGATTTCAATAAACTTTTTTTTATTAAACTTGTCAAGAAACTTCTATTTGATAAAAGTTTGATCAACAAGTACTTAAGTTATCTATCCTTAGTAAAAAAACATGTTATCCACCTGTGACTAAGGAAATGTTATCGTTCCTAATATGATAGTACTAGTGTTCCATAGAAATTGAGTGGTATGGAGAAACACGACAGGTTGATTTATTTCACTCGACCCGAGGTAATGGAAGTTGGGAAATAAAGAATGAAAGAAAAAATCTAAAAACAAAAGAGAAAATATTATACATAAGTAATTGGAAACTGTCTCTAAAAACAGAGGATAACTCCCATGGGAGGAGAAACTTCCTGAAAGGAGATGCAGTAGCAAAGGTGTTCTTTGATTTTAGAAAGTGTTTTCTATTTTCTTAAATTGCTGCAGGAAATAGTGAATAGCTGTTTTATAATTAAAAATAAAGAAAGAAAATATAAATATTTTCCTCCCCAATCCAATCAGGTCCTAAGGTTTTGGGTCCTCAAGAATGGGCTTCGCTGCGTTAAGATTGCAGTCCAGGCTTAAGTAGAGGCCCATTACTCAAGTTCACAAAAAAAATAATATCAGTGGTCCTCACTCCTCGTAGTAGCTTATCCCTTTCTTAATTAATAGTTTTTATTTTTCTTTCTTTTTATTTAATTTTAACAGGCGAGTGTTTTATTAAACTCAAGTTTGTCGGAAAGGAAGTCCCTCCAACCCAGTAACCAGTATCACCTTCTTCTTCTTTTGTTTGTTTCTCTTCCTTCCCTCTTCCCTCTCTTCCGAGGGTTTTTTTCTTTTTCCTTTTTTTTTCCTTTTTCTTTTTACTTTTATTTTCTTTTATACTTTCTCTTGTTTTTCAGTTTTTATTGTATAAAATTTCCCCTCTATCCCCATTTCTTCGTCCTCTGCAACCCTAACCCTAGAATTGAAGATGCAGTCGCAGAGGTTAAGGCAGCATGCCATGATGCAGCACTCTCTCTATCACCACCCGGCCCTCCTAACTCCTCCTCAGGTTCCTCTTTTGCCTTGCTTCCTACTCTTATTTTTTTCGTTTTTTTTCTTCCATAGTGCTTATTGTCTATACTTTCAGCTTCATTTCTTCCTAATATTTATCAACTTATATTTGTGATTACTGCTTTCACTTCAATTTCCCGCCAATTGATCAGCTAGCAGTTTTTTTTTTTTTTTATAGATATTTGTGAACTACCCTAGAATTTCGATTTCTTATTTATGACAGGATAAGCAAAATCTTAGTGGCACGAATTCATTTTGTCTCTTTGGTGTTTTACTAATTAAACTTTTTTAAGTATTTATATGATTTGGTATTTGCGGTTTCTTTGATTAGATTAGTTGAGAGGAGAGTGGATAATTTTGCTTTTAGGAGTTCTTTTTCCTTTTTTTTTCTTTGTTTTTTTACATTTTTATTTTGCAGATAGAGCCTATCTTGAGTGGAAATCTGCCTCCTGGCTTTGATTCGAGTACATGCCGCAGTGTGTGAGTGTTAATAGACATTTTATTCAGACTTTTTTGGTTTTAAATAAATATCTTCTACTGTTCTTTGTTTATTTCGATTTAATCATTTTTTTCCATTTTAGCTGCCTTAAGCGACTTGACTTGATTGCCTCTCTTTACCTTGGGATGTTCTCAATTTTTTCTGTTGGTTTTTGTTTCTTATAGCTAGTGAATTCAATTCATTTTGGGCTACAGGCTTATTAAGTCTTTTTTTTTTTTTTTACTTTGTAATTTACATTTTAAATATCTGATCACTTTTGGGGGAATGCAGTTATGTTGGCAACATTCATCCTCAAGTTACAGAAGCCCTTCTTCAAGAGCTATTTTCAAATGCAGGTGCCCTTGAAGGATGCAAGCTTATTAGGAAAGAGAAGGTGAGCTTTGTTTATAATGATATCTTCAAGTAAAAATAAATAAATTTGAGGATAATGATGTATGATACAGCTCATGATTCCGTTAGTTGCCTGTAGTAGTGAATGACAAACTGTTTATTGAGAAAAAAAACATCTGAGGCAGTAGGCAAATGTGTTTCCAGCCTATGTGCTTCTTGTGTCATGTCAATCATGATGATATACTTTATATTGTCATATGCAGTCATCCTATGGCTTTGTGGACTACTTTGATCGCAGTTCAGCCGCATTTGCTATCGTAACTCTCAATGGGAGGAATATGTATGTGGGATCTTCCCTTTGAGTTATGGTAAAACTTTTAGTTGTTTGATATTTTAACACTATAACACATTGTCTGCAGTTTTGGGCAGCCTATTAAAGTTAACTGGGCTTATGCTAGCAGCCAGAGAGAGGATACTTCAGGTTATATTCTTGCTGACCATGTGCACTTGGAGGCGATTTTATTGTGCCTTATTTTGCAGAAGGGAAACCTTACCTTTTTCTTTTCATTTGGATTCAGGTCACTTTAATATTTTTGTCGGTGACCTTAGTCCTGAGGTCACTGATGCAACACTGTATGCTTGCTTCTGTGTATACCCTAGTTGCTCGTAAGTTTTTATATACCCTATCTATTTTTATTTTCTTGTTGCCATTTTGTTTCACTGTTCACTAAAATATATTCTCAGTAGTAGTAACACCTGAATGTATATCTGAAATCAATTCATATTATTGCTATTATCATGATGGTAATTGTGGTTGTTGGTTACAGTGATGCAAGGGTAATGTGGGATCTGAAGACAGGCCGTTCCAGGGGATTTGGCTTTGTTTCTTTCCGGAATCAGCAGGCATGAAATCATCACTTCATTTTTCCCACTTGCTGTCTTATCTTGCATTGCTTGGTGTTTTCTATGCTTTTCATGCTAATGTAGGGTGTCTTGCTTTTGTGATTGTATTGATCAGGATGCCCAAAGTGCCATAAATGATTTAACTGGTAAGATATTTTCATTTTTGTAAATGCTAGCTTTTCATTTTTAACACCCAGGATGTGTGAATGTTTCAGGAATTTTGCTAAATGAAAAATTGTTTAAAACTTGAAAATACCATATCGTGCTGTTCGATTATTATACTAGGAATTGTGTGTGAAATCTAATATATTTGATACTACAACAACAACCACCAAGCCTTATTCCACTAGGTTATAGGAGGATCAAATAAAGGAGACTTAATTGAGCTGTTATTCATTCTGAACTATCAAATAACTGATTTTCCGATAGTTGAGGATAAATTTTTCGTAATCCAGTTGTTGCCACGGACAGAATTTCCATGGGATGTTTGGTTCATAAAATAACTGTTTTCATAATTTCATTTTAATTTTTAATTGCAGTTGCATTAGCGCTTCAATTGTATATGGAATTTTTAAAGTTTTGCCCTGATATTTCAGGAAAATGGCTTGGAAGTCGACAGATTCGTTGTAATTGGGCCACAAAAGGGGCCAATGCCAATGATGAAAAGCAGAGTTCAGATTCTAAAAGTGTTGTGGAGTTAACTAATGGAACATCCGGTGAGATTATAAATTTATTATACTATGATTCCATTTAGGAGCCTCGTTATTTTCCCTTTATTTATTTTGGTTTGCAGATGGCTTCAGATATCATTGGATTCTGATTTTCATTGTCTGTTTCTTGAAAGCACATATGAAGTCTAGAATATTTTCTGATGGAATTGAAAGTAAATTTTAAACCAATTGCTACAGACATGAAAGTTCATTTCTAAAAATTTTTTTAACGTGACACTCCTTATACTAGCTTTTCAAGTAGCATCAGTATCTTCTATATGTACATCATGAATGATATTTTCTAAATATTTATTGTTTGTAGATATATAGATATTTTTCCATCAATTGATCATAAATTCATAATGAATGATTGTAGGTATTGCTTGTTGAATAATCTTTACTTACGGTTTGCTCTTTTTTTATTTTTCATTTTTATTGTAGAAGATGGCCAGGAAATAACGAATGATGACACTCCAGAGAAGAATCCTCAATATACCACTGTTTATGTTGGCAATCTTGCTCCAGAGGCAAGGATTAGTATTTTTTTTTATGATCGTTTTTACCCTAATAGCTCTTCATATGTATCTGGATGTCTTTTTCTAGCTATTTAAATACTTGTAGTATAAAATAGTCTCATAGCTTTGTGCATGGATGGACAGTGCTTTAGTACTATATTAGGCAAAATATATTTGCAAGCTGTATTAAATGTGTAGAAGAGTTCTTAAACTTCAGTTTGTTGCAAAACTGTTTGTGGCAATTCTCATAGGCTTGTGAATTGCAGGTTACTTCTGTTGATCTCCATCAACATTTTCATGCTCTTGGTACTGGAACTATTGAAGATGTTAGGGTGCAGCGAGACAAAGGTTTTGGGTTTGTAAGATACAGTACACATGCTGAAGCAGCTCGTGCTATACAAATGGGTAATGCTCAAGTTCTCTTTGGCAAGCCGATCAAGGTACACTACTAATTCATGACATATTTATTTGTTGATTATTCTAGTAGGTTTTGGTCCTATTCTTGTAGCTCTGACTGTGTCATTTACTTGGGCACTAAATTTTAAAAAATGTATGTTTTACAGATTTATTAAAAAAATTGAACCAAAAATGCCAACTTTTGTTAGAACCCTCCTTCAAAAAGATCGCACATAATATTCTCAACAATATATAATTATTACTGTTCTACTCCAGTCCAAAGGTTCTTGAAAAAAAAAAAAAAGGTTGTATCTAATCCTGGTAATTGATGTTTTGCAGTGTTCATGGGGTAGCAAGCCTACTCCTCCTGGAACAGCATCTACGCCCCTTCCTCCACCTGCATCTGCAAATGTTGCAGGCTTTTCACTTGCTAGTCTTGCAGCATATGAACGCCAAATGGCTTTGAGTAAAATGGGTGGTCCACATGCTCTTATGCATCAGCAAGGTCAACATTCCCTAAAGCAGGCAGCCATGGGCATCGGTGCTCCTGGGGCCGGTTATGATGCAAGGTTCCAGAGTGTTGCGACCACCCAGCACCTAATGTATTATCAGTAAAACGTGTTGTGCAGCTCCTTACGATATACAAGGAGGATTAAAGTCAATTGAACCGCTAGAACGGTTCTACAATACCGTTACTTTCTTCCTTTCCCTACCCTCTTCTTACTTTATCCTCCCCAGTTTTTCTTTTGCGTCCTTCTGCGCATATTTATGCTTCGTAAATTTGTATTACTACAATGTCTTAGCTGTTGTGTGCATGAATAGTGTGTTTTCTATTTTCTAATGGCGAAGATTGTATGATTCGATTGTGTCGTTCATGGAGTTTTTGCCTTTTTACTGTTTTGGAGTTATCAAGCTTTGCTTAGTTATTAACTTCAGTCCAAGTGTCAAACTTTTTGTCTTAATCTTTCATGTTTATACAATTTTGTCTTAGGCTTTGCTTAGTTTTTGCCTTTATACAATTTTACCTAGTTATATGAAATTAACTTCTGTAACGATAATTAAACATCAACAGTACAATACAATACAAACAGTATTTGTATTATTATGTAAATAAAGTTTTCTTAAAAATTCTTGTTTTTCATTGTTCTCGAGCAATTATAATTATTAACTGACTAGGTATAAATAAAACAAAATCTGTAATTATAAAGATATATTGATAATCTTTGTAAAAATGGCTAGTTTGGAAGTAGAGAGAAAATGAGAAGGATAATCAAAAGGATGTGAAAAGGGAAAACAAAGAGAAGATTAGAAAAAATGAAAAAGCAATCCTTTTTTTCAAATATTTAAAATTATGTATATATCCTTTGTATAAAGAGGAAGTTTTGGCATTTTTAAATAACAATTTTGAAATATAATAAAAATGTTTACTGTCACATCATAAAAAAATTAATAATATAAAATTAAATGATAAAATTAATAATACAAGAACAACCTTCAACTGGACCTAAAAATAGGTCAAATTATTAGTTAAGAGTGCAGGTGAAATTTATTTGAAAATCGTTAAGTTATGTTTTTTAAAAGTCTATATAATAAGAAGGTTTTGGATTGTTTGAAAACCCTTTTAAACTTAACAATCCAATTTATTTAAATGAATATTATTAATATTGTTATTATTAGGCTTAAATATGTTATTTTAGTTATAAAATTGGGTTTACTAATTTATTTACAAATATTTTTTTATAAATATTTCTTTATAAAGTAACTTTTTAAGTAGTTTTACAGAATAAATCAAATTTTTTAAAATGTCAAGTAAAATCTTAAAAAATAACTCATAATAAATAAATAAATAAAATTTAAATCTTGAAGTAAAAAATAAGTGTGTATTTAATTTATTATAAATTTAAATTTATTTAAATAATATTAATTATAATTTATGTATTTAATTTACAATTACGTACTTTTAAATATATTTCTAAACATGCACTAATAATAATATTAAAATAAATAGAAATTCTTGAGCAATTCAAACCTATATTATACATTTACTTGATTCTTACCAAATTTATTTCAACTCAATATATTTTCACATCTTACCTCAACTGATTTACCGCACGAAGTATCGGCAGCGCTATTAAAATAAGTCAATAACCCAAACCTTAATTTATTTGGGCTAATGAAAGAGGAAAACAAAAACTTGATTTCAAGTCTATTTCAAATTGTCTGACAAAGTTGACAAAAATAATTTATTTTTTGACGAAAAATAAGTCAATTTTAAATAGGTTTAACCTATCTCCTCCTTCTACGTATTTGATTTGAGTTTTACTTGTTTACTTATTATGACTTTTTTTAATAATAATATATGCCTTTACAATTTTAAGAGTATAACTTAACTTGATGTCTATTTTATAGTAGGCTTTGAATAGGTCATTAAGACGAGTCTTTAAATAACTTAACAGGCCCATTTATTAATCAAATAAGCTTACTATATCTCCTAAATATATAATTTAAATTTATCTTATTTAATATTTTCTTATAAAATACGATCTAATATTTTTAAGACATTACTTAATTTGAATGTCTATTTAAATACTTATTTTATAATATGGCCTTCAAATAGATAAAATAAAGTGATATTATTATTATTATTATTGGCTCGTTAATCTTAAGAGCAAATATGGATTGAGTTAGGGTTTGTCTTTATTAAAAAAAAAACATTGGTTTATTTTCAAAATTTAAGGTTTGAATTTTAATTATTTTTCTGATATAAATTATTTTTATATTTAAAATTTCTTTTTAAAAATTTCGACTTTGTCTGAAAATACATTTAAAAGAGTATTTTTACAGTAACTCTTTCAAACAAGTAAAAAATATATTTTTAGATAAGCTCATAAATCTAAACTTACACGTAGTTTAACGAAATTATTTTATTTAACAAACCAATATATAGCTTTAAAATAATTACAGTAAAAATATAATAATTGTAACAATAGATTTATTTACCTAAATAGGCTATTCCATAGGCCTAAAATTGTTCTTAATGAGTCTAAAGTGTGGCATTTCTTGATTAAATAATTTTTTAAAATCAATTTAATTGTTTAATCGGTAATTTTACCTAACTAAGCATAAGCCTGATGTGAATATAGCCATAAGTCTCCGATAAGCAAAATAAATTTCTGACGCATAATCGCCTCTAACTAATTTTGTGTTTGGTTGTGAGTTAAAATGTGGAATGTTTCAATTCACTGAACGTGCGTTAAGCTCTTCATTACTATGGAACCAAACATACACTGAGCTTAAAATTTGGGAAAAAAATTCATTTTAATGTCATAATTCTTTTTCCAATTTAATCAAGTCCGAGTCAATGTTCTTTTAAGTAGTATGTCACCCCTATTTTTGTTTCATAAACCATGCAAGTGAAATCATCATGTGGCCGAAAGATCTCTTAAATTGAAATTGATAAATCACAAGTACTCCATCCACGAGGTGGGAGATGAGAAAGCCATTGCTTACCTAGCCACTTTTTCCTATAAACTATGAAAATGAAATCATCATGTGGGTGAAAGATCACTTAGATCAAAATTCAGCCATGTTAACAATGCTCACATAGCTTATGAGATTAAAAAAATAGTAAAAGAATCACAAATACGTATCTTGAGAGCAGAGGGAGCACAATGATGTTCGCTTTTGGGGAGTGGGGCATATACCCACGAATAATAAAAGGGAGGTTCGAAGCATAAAGTGGCTGAGAAGTGTGATATGATTCTTTTTAAGATCATTTTATTTTTTACTTTTGGTTAGTGGGGATGGGATGGGCACAGTGCTGATAGTTGGATTCCCTTGTCGTATTGATTCCATGAGTGGCGTTTTCATATTCATAAGGGTCCAATCCAACGGTCCCCACTTAATGGCATCCACTTAAACGACGAAATATCACATTTATGAGACAGCTTCTTCTTTTGTTCAAAAAATGTCCCAATACACACACTCTTTTACCCCCCACTTTCTCCCTCCTCTCCTCTCCTCTCCTCTCGCACCTTTTGTCGTCTTAAGACCACTTTATGGGCTGCAATCAAACGCAGCCACTACCAAACAAATCAAAACATACAAACAAACTATTTTTTTTATTAATTATTCGTTAATTTATAAAAATGTGTATTCTGCTTGTAACTTTGTCTTCTTTATTTGTTGCTGCTACAAAATTATGAGATTCACGTAAGATTATCGGGAAACATGTCACGTATACCACTAGAAGGAATGCTTTCTTTCTCCCATACTAACGAATGCCTTGTGAACACTGGGTTAGTAATTAATAAACAATTTTTTAATTGAAAATCATAATAAAAATGTGTTAGTAGATGCTTAATTTAAAGATGTATTTTAACATTTTTCTAATTTTTATTCCACGCTCGTCGTCTATTTTTAATTTATAGTTTACTCAACGGACAATATTATAACAGTATAAGGTTTTAATTCCAAAAAAAAAAACAAACGTTTAGAAATTATATTAAACTTAAAAATGAGTGAAGAAAATTATACTTTGAAGAAAATTTCTAATTTAAAAGTTAATTTTTGTAATTATATTAGTGCGCTAAAAGTTTTAATCAGTTTTTGTTCCTTATATAAAACAAACGGAGGAAGTATGATATGATTATACTAAAAAAAATTTAAACCCATTTTAATCAATTTTAAAATCTAACATATATACAGTATTATTTATCAAATATAAACGGTTACACTAGTTAGAGTATGACAGAGAGATGATTTTTAAAAAGGAATAGGAGGGGATAATATTTTTTTTAATTTTAAATTAAAATAATTATATATCATTTATAATAATAAATATATTAAATTTTTATTAATATAATAATTTATATTTTTAATTTAAAAAATATTAATTTTAAATATATTTATTTAAAATATAAATTTCGCTCATTTCTCCAAAATTCTCATTCTCAAACAATCTCTTAATAATTTTTATAAAATATGAAATTAATTAATCCTACTGTTATTAAAAAGATTGATTTTATAAAAAATAAATTATTATATACTTTATTACATTATTTTATTTTAACCAACAATATATTTTTAAAATATAAATAAATATTAAATTCTAATAATATAAATATTAATATCCAAATTATATATATAAAATGATAAATAATATAAAATAATTTAACAATTAAATTAATCAATTTTACATTTCACATTTAGTATTAAAAAATACCAGTACTCATGTATGTACACGTCTATCCATCATATTTTTGTTGCCAGAACCATGAAAATTTTGGAGGAGCTGATACAATAGTTCATGTAAGTTTGGAGGACAAAATTGAAGTTTTATTTCGGTATTTCAACCCAAGAAACTGAGAAACAGTCTGAATTATTTGATGTTTGAGACAGAACTCAGGAACAGAACAAACTAAATCTGTGCAACTGAGAACCCAAAATTCATAACTCTTGCCTTATTGGTAAGAAGAAAAAACATCAGAATATCTACCATTTTTTCCGATAAAAAATTCTCTTTTGGTTACGATCAAGTAGTCTTAATTCTCATATATACTATTCCAGATAGTGAACAATAGTATAGCCGTATATTATGTACGTAGGTATATAATATATTGAATACACTTGTAGCATCAATTCTGGTTTATTTCCCTAGCCAGAGTCAGACACAAAACGCTAAAGTGCAAGAATTCCAGTTGAAAATATTTGTTCTCTCGTATATGGCGAACTTGACAATTCCACAGATCTTGAAGCTTCTGACCTACACCGCTCTTTGCGTTCGTCCATCATTATTTGACTTGAACGACACTCTGGGCTACAAAACGCTTTCTCTCCTCTGTACAAAACCACGTATGAATTATTATAACTCCGTGTCACGTAAATCAAAATTCGAGAAATACAAAGTTTTGAATCTGAGTTAGTACCTGTACATGTATATGTCTTTGCCATGGAGTTTCTTTGCACATAAGTGACATGAATTTAGAAAATTTGAGGTGGGAAATGATGATTCGGGCTCAATTAAAGTTGGTGGGGTGGTTCTTCTGAGAACACCAACGTTGATGTTGTTGTTATTATGCCCATGATGTCTAATTTCATGACCTTCACCGCCATCATAGTATACCTTGGTGAAGGTTTTGTTAGGTACGTGGCACGTCACATAGGTGTATTCCTCCAAGCTTCCTACATCAATTTCGTCATCAATTACACCCCTTTGAAACCCATCTGGGTTTTTCATACATTGAACCGGGATTGGGCCGGACCGGTTCAAATTGGAGGCACAAACACGCCCACCTTCACTTGATTTATCAAGCGCCACCACGATTCCAAGACCAACACCACCAAGGTCATAGCTTTTTAAGCCTCTTGGTGATTGCATCTTCATGTCTAATGGGCCTCTTGGGCTTACGGCGGTGTCCAAAACTGCCACCGCACGGCCTCTAGAGACCAATAATTCCGACAACTTTCCGATCATTGGCCGGGGTCTCTTCCCCAACATGATCAGAATTTTGTAATGAGGGACGATGGAGAATGTGAAGGAAATGGGTTGTTGTCTAAGACTATTCTGTGAAGAATTGAAAGGTGAGTGGTGGGTGTCTTTATAAGACCAAACTATAAAGCCATCTTAGTGGTCTTAATATTAATTGATGGAGTGGTTGGACTAAGCCCCTGGTTTTGTTTGGAATTATATGAGTGATGATTGCTAGAGAAATACTCAACAATTAATATTCATTTGATGATTCATTATTTAATTGAACAGGTGGTGTGATAATTTATTCATTTGATTTTATTGCAAGCTTGAACTGATTCCTTTCTTGTGCTAATTTTGCCTTAATAATATATCAATGTCACTTGTCAGTGGGCCAGATTCTTGAAAATTTTGTCATTTTCAATTATTGAGATACCGTATAGACACTATAACCTTTAGTTTAATATAGGCTATGTGCTTGGGCGGTCAAATGTGTAGAAAATGTTGAGGTTTGGTATATTGATTATAATTACTGAAGGGATATTTAATGATCGTGTGATTTAAAATTAAAAATATATATTTAGTCTCGATAGTTATTTGGTTTTAATTGTAATTATTGTGGTAGACTGATTCCTAAGTGTAGGTTACTTAAAATGTTACTGTTTAAAATACATTTTGTATTAGTTGAATAGACCCGAAATTAGAAAAACTGAAAAAAACGTAAAGAGATTTTAAATATTTTTCAACCACAATGTTCAAGTATGCAGCCCTTGTCTCAAACGGATATATTTTACTACACTTTCAATTTCAAAATAGATATTTATGTAGTTATTAAGTCTCTTCATCTAAAAAGCACCGTGAGCTTATTTTTGTTGTAATTTTTCCAACAATGAAGATTATCTTGGAATATAACACTGATGCTCTCTATAGATGCAGAGTAAAAGGATTATTTATTCTATTAAAAAAATGAAAAACATAAAGATGTTATTTTTTTACTTTTTTTGTTACCAGTTTTTTGTTGTTTTATATTTTGTCTTGAAGATAATTTATAGACCTTGCAAATTTGTCAGTTAAATTATGTTTTTATCTTTTTAGTTTATACTATGTGTAATTTTATTTTAAAATTTTTTAAATTGATTAAATTTTTTACTTTTAAAAATAAATATTTAAAAAGAGAGCTTTACACATAAATGTCCTACTTGACTTGAACATGTCATATCTCATAAAAAATAAATAAGTTGTATTTATTTTTTTGAAAAAATTCACATAAATCCTTCAGTTTTTTATTTAAATATTTATAAATCAAATCAATTAAATTATTTATTGCTCAAAACTTACGACTAAAAAACAGTCAAATTTCACTTCAAATGAAATTTATACCCATCTTATAAAATCCTTAAAACTTTATACTTTTTTCTAATTCTTTAATCACAAATCTATCAAAATTTTATAAACATTTAAATCTAAAACAAAAATTTTAAAATAATCAATTAATTCATTAAAAAATTGCAGATAATTCAAACTAAAAAAAAGTGTAATTAAGCGTGTTCTATTTTCTCTCTTCAATTAAATAATATAAATATAATTTCATTCTTTCAATCTTTCCCATCAATTTTTACCCTAATCAAACAAAAGCTCGAGTGTCGTTGTCTCTCGTTGATGAGGATTCCGTGGTATTTGGACCGTTGGATGGAGGACCACGTGTACAACGTATTGGGACATCGACTACTGGAACCACGTCACTGAGCCCACTGATTTTGAGATTTTGAAAGCGACATGCTCGAGCCCACTCCCAACATAAATGTACCCATCGATACCAAATTACATTTTTATCCCTCAGAGTCAGATAATCTGTCCTTTTCTTTCCATTATCAATTATAAATAGTACCAACACTACACTGTATACTTCACAAAAAAATTGAAGCATAAAAATGAAATAGAACTCACTTCCTCTTTCAGCTTATAAATTTGTAAATAACTGTGCATTTCTTTTTTGGGATTTTTATTTTCTATTAGTGGAAAAAAATCCCTACAGTTATTATTTCATTTTACATAACTGTAATTATAAATTAAGCCTAATACTACACGGTAATGTGTAAAATTTAGGGTTTAATTTTTCAAAATAATTTATTTTCCCAAAGGATAAAAAAGGGTAGTTTGGTGATTGAAGTGTCAGAGAAAATCAATAATGAGGTGGAAGCAATAAAGATGATGGCCCACATAAACAGAGACAGCTGAAATAAAGGAGGCTTCCCTTCTTGACCAGTGGCAGTATATTAAAAAGACGAAGAAAAAAAGGAGCCGTGAAAACGGAACGGAATGGGATTGATTACAAAACTAATAATGACGGAGGCCCGCATCACGTGTTGATGCATACGTGTTCTTCTTGCACTGGCTCATTTATTTGGTGCAATAAAACCTACTGAAAACTCTTCTTAACCAAAACTACTTTTTCTCTGTAAATAAAGTACAGCTTTGTTCTCATATTCGATTTTCTTCGTTTCTTTTTTTTTATTTTCATATTAAAAAGTTAAAAATAAGTTTAATATATATAGATATTAACTACACATTTTATTTTAGCTTCATTTTCTTTATTAAATAAAATGAAAAATATATGTATAGCAAAATATACATATATATATTATTTATAAAAAATTTAATTTGTCTTAAAATGTTTATTTTAAACAAATTAAAAACTTTCTAATAAAACCTTTATTTATTGATATCTCATTTAAATATTTAAATAGATTCATAACTATATTTAAAATTTTCAGTCTTAATACAAAAATTAACCATATTTTATTAAATACTTTAAATTGTTGTTTTAAAAATACATTTTAAGATAATAAATATTTTTACTTTTAATAAAATTTTATTTTTAATTTTTAAAAACATATTAGTGTAATTTAAAGTTTGACATCTAATATTATGGAATTTTTATGTTAATTGTAACTCGAAAAATTTACTTATTAAAATAATTATTAAATATTAGTCTAAGTTACTTTTAAGCATTTAAAAATAACAATATATTAATAAAAAATAGTTATTTTATTAAATGTGGAATATTATAATTAATATTTTTTTAATAATATATTATTAATATTAATTGCTTAAAATTAATTTTAAAGGTTTGATATTAATAATTTTATTAGTATTATATATACTTTTAAAAAAAATTACATTAATTCTTTAAAAGTTACACTTTTTATTTTTTTTATGGTATATTCTCATTGTTTTAATTAATAGATGTATAATTATTTATAAATTAGCAATAAAATGATGATTTTTAATTTAATATTATTTTTATATTTTAAAAAGAGTTTCACACGGTCATTAGTGTCATACTTTTATATGTTAATATTTGTATTTTAATTTATTTAATAGAGCTCCTATGCTACCAACAAACCGGATATTGAAAAAAACTCTTTTAGGATATGTATGATTACTATTTTAAAAATAGTTTTCTATTTTTAGAAATAAAATATAATACAAATTTGTATTCAATTTTATTTTTAAAAAACAAAAAACTATTTCAAAAAAAGAAAAAAAATACTTGATTAGTATCTAAAATATTTTAATTATTTATGTTTTATGCTTCTATTATATTCAATATTTGTTGAAAATCTCTTGTGCATAAATATGAAGTTGGACTTTATCTTTAATAACTTTAATCTATTTTATTGATTTATGATCTGTGTCTAGTTTATTTATCTAATACGGCATTTTTAACGGTATGGTCAAGTGTTTTTAAAACTTTTTTTACGTGCTTTTTTTAATTTGTTCAACCCATGTCCAATATAAGTGTTTTGGCGTAAATATTTTATGAAGGTTAGCATAATTGCTAAGTTAAATTTTAGCAATATATATAATTTATGTATTCATATGACTTAAGGGATAGAAAGGAAATAGATAAAAAAAATGGCAGGCCAATTTTACTGTCCATCAAAATTTTTCTATGCATGTTTGGTGTTATTTTAAAGATAAATGTTTATATTCTCAAAAGAAATTCACGGTTAGTCACAGATTCATATCACACATCATGAACCATTTTGTAACTCTAACTCCCAAATATTTAATGGGGGAGTCAACATGATAGGAATTATACTGTTTTTAAATCATTCAAGTGTTGCTTTCATTTAGAACTTTGAATCAATATTATAATTTATCAACAACATTTTTTGGTGTTAAAAGTGTATCCAAATTGTTATTTTTTAAATCTAAACAAATCTAATGAGATCCATAACAATAGGGACATAGCTATTTATACAGCTTTCTTTGACATAAGCATGCTTTACTATTTTATCAACTTTTAATGATCATACGAATATGTACTGAAATAATTATGAATTTAATTTTGATGTATTGAAGTTTTATATTTCTATTTAATGTTTTTTATTTTGATATATATTTTACATAATTGTTAACATAATGAGACTTATCAAGCGAAGTATGACTCATAAAAGTACTCGAAAACATTTAAAAAAAATTGATTAATAATTTTTTAAAACTAAATTAATAAGGAAATAAATCCACTTATTTAAAAGCACGTCTTGAATATTTATTTAATTTAAAATAAAATTTTGATAATTCAATTATGTAATAATATTATAATAATCATGTATTAAAGTTTAGATAAATAAAATATATATATAGAAATATGATATGTATGTTAAAGAGACGTAAATCGATATTATATAATATGTAGATTATTATGATTATGATCATGTGACTTTCTTAAAAATATATTTAATTTATATATTTTAATTATGATCATTCACAAAAAAAATTAATAATTAAAGTTTGTTTTATATTTTTATATAAAAATAATTTATTTAAGATTTACTTAAAATGAGAAATTCTCTTTCCAACCTACAATTATTAAGTTGTTAATTGAATGACAACTCCACTAAAGATCATTCCTTGGATTTCGTGATCCTAACATTTATATTATATTGTGTAGTGTACATAGATTAAACCAAATTTATGAGTTGGATGACCTAGCATTCATCATGACTCTATATTTAAAGCTTGTATTAATCACTACTAATTAAAGACCTGTTACTTAAAATAACCTTGACTGTTGAGTCCCTCTTTTTGTTTTTTGGTCAACCTATTGAATCTACCTCCACTGTAAACAATTTTTAATCAATGGCCATCGTCCACAATCCATTAAACAAGCCCAACGGAGGGAACATACACCTTTAAGCACTTTTGGGCCGTTGTAAACACAGACCCATCTATGTTGTGGATCAAAAGTTGGAGCCATCCAAGAGATAAGACTTTTAATGACCAGAAGAAAAAAATAAGACTTCTAATTTTTTATTATAATAATATCATTTTAAAATTTATTTCTCAATATATTTATTGTAATGGATGAATTCAAATGTTTTGAACCAATACATCGAAATATAACATACATCGTTTCCTGCTTTCTATCTCTTTTCACACGTTATTTTAATGGAAATATTTCACCACTTTTTTTTTTTTTTTTTTTAAAAGCATTCATTATTTTATCAAGAATTATGCATTATAAATTAGTTGAAGCAAAAATTATCACAATAGATACAATTGTTTAATTAAATAACTGTTATTTAACTAAAACCTTGGGACCAAGTAACAAAATTAAAAATTAAAACAAATACTAAGAGTATATAAAAACATGAAATAATTGTGGGATTCATTTAATACCATTTTTAAGAGATGATGGGATTTGAAATTGGTTAAATAGAAAAAAAATAATTATAAATGCTAACATGTTATTGTAAAGCTCGCAAAATCATCTTAATAAGAAGGGAAAAGTATCTATCCATTTATATCATTTTTTTATATATAAAATGTTAATAATTTTTTATTAAATTCTTAATAACATTTTTGTTATTGCTATTTTTAACAGTATATAACCTTCAATTCTAATAAACTTGCCTCAAATATAATTTAAAAATAAAATATAAATTAATTAGAATTTAATGTAATTTAGAGTGAATTTATTTATATAATATATTTTATAGTAACTTTAAATATCTAAATTTTAATAATTATAAATTATAAATACATAAATAATATACAAATTTATTATTTATATACAGAAGTGACTCTAAATTATAAATTTTAAGAATAATAAATTTTGTTGTAAATAAATAGAGCAAGAATATGTACAACCTTTAGAAATGACTTTAAACTTTGGTAATTTTAATAATTATAAATTTTGCTATAAATGCATAGAGTAATAATAAGTAAGGTAATTATAAATGTATAAAATAATAAACAAGGTAACTGATAAATTTCATAAATTTTGTTACAAATGCATAGAGTAACAATTAAGATAATTATAAATGCATAGAGTAACAATCATAAATTTAATTATAAATACAGAGTAACAAGTAGTTATAGTCAATTATATATTTTATATAGATAGATTCTAGGTAGATAAATGTAGTTTCTTGAGAAGGCATAACAAATTTTCAAAATGAATGAAAAGAGATAATTTGTTATCCTTTTGTTTGGATAAGATAAAGGTAATCTTGATATAACAAATTAATCTACCACAGTAAAAATTAAAATGGGTAGACGATAGATAGATAGATGTAGTTTCTTTGTATAACAAATTTTTAGAATGAATAAAAGGAGATAGTTTGTTATCGTTTTATCTGAACAAGATAAAGGTAATTTTGTTATAACAGATCAATCTATCAAAATTGAAATGGGTAGATGATAGGATCGTACCAAACCAATTTTGACCGAACTCTTCTCTATATAAACGGATACATTGTGTAACTTAGATCACACTGTTCTACAATTTCCTAAGTCACTATGGCTACTGCAAAGAACTTCTTCTCTGTGGTGCTGTTATTTTGGCTCGTTAGCTTTTTCTTCAATTGCATCAATGCTGTTGAAGTCACTCATGATGGAAGGGCCTTAAAAATTGATGGCAAGCGTAGAGTTCTCTTGTCCGGATCAATCCATTATCCTAGAAGTACACCTGAGGTAAGTATTCATTTTAGTTTTTTTTATTTGTATATGTGCTAATTGCTAAGTCTAATTTTTTAAAAATTTAATCATATATAGATGTGGCCCGATTTAATCCAAAAAGGCAAAGAAGGAGGATTAGATGCAATCGAAACATATGTTTTTTGGGATTTGCATGAACCTTCTCCTCGTCAGTATGATTTCACTGGCAACAATGATCTCATCAGGTTTCTCAAGACCATTCAAGAGGCTGGACTTTATTCTGTTCTTCGCATTGGTCCATACGTTTGTGCCGAATGGAATTATGGGTACATTTAATCACCTTTTGTTTAATGTGTACTTTATTATTTTTATCATGAGTAATTTTAAAAATATTCAATTGTTGTCACTTTTAGAGGGATTCCTGTGTGGGTTCACAATCTCCCTGGTGTTGAGATTCGTACTGCCAATGCTGTGTACATGGTAATATATTTTTTTTCTTAATTATATCATATTGTTGAGTTTTTATATATATTTTATATCCCAAAATATTTTCTGACTTTTATTTTAATTTGGATTTCAGAATCAAATGCAAAATTTCACTACTTTGATAGTGGATATGGTCAAGAAAGAGAAACTTTTTGCTTCTCAAGGTGGTCCCATAATTCTTGCTCAGGTACTTCTCATTTTTTTTTCCTTCTTTTTCTTTCTCTTATGAATGGCTCCATTAAAATTGTTTTTTTTTTTTATTTGTTACTAATCAATTGGTCAACAATTTTAGATCGAAAATGAATATGGGAACGTAATTTCGAATTATGGAGCCGCTGGAAAAGCTTACATAAATTGGTGCGCAAGCATGGCCGAATCCTTAAACATCGGGGTTCCATGGATCATGTGCCAAGAGCCCGATGCTCCTCAGCCAATGGTATATGTTTTTATAATTTTATGTGATATAGTTATATAATTAATATGAGAAGCTGACATGTTTACTTTTTTTATGCATGATAGATTAACACTTGCAATGGGTGGTATTGTGACGACTTTGAACCCAATAATCCAAACAGTCCTAAGATGTGGACAGAAAATTGGGTAGGCTGGTATGTCTAGATAGTCTCATATTCTTATACACATATTCAATATTTTTAATTTTAAAAGAAGCCTTTTAGCTTATTGTTTTTATTATTGGATTTTATATTTGACATTTTCTTTGGTATATTTAAGGTTCAAGAGTTGGGGTGGCAAAGATCCACATAGAACTGCTCAAGATGTTGCTTATGCTGTGGCTAAATTTTTCCAAACCGGAGGCACATTCCAAAATTATTATATGGTAAACAATTCATCACATTTCAAATTATTAGTCCTCATGCTCTTTATCTTAGTTAAATCTTACTTAGATAATTATGATTTTTGGTTCAGTACCATGGTGGAACTAACTTCGGAAGAACAGCCGGTGGTCCATACATTACCACTACATATGATTATGATGCTCCTCTTGATGAATACGGTAATTGCTATTTACCTAAATATTATAGTTAAATTTTCCCCCCATAAAATATGAAATATTCATATGAATAAACCTTTGCTCTTTATGCAGGCAACATTGCCCAACCAAAATGGGGTCACCTCAAAGAGCTGCATAGAGTTTTGAAGTCAATGGAGGAAAGTCTTACAAACGGGAACGTTTCTGAGACTGATTTTGGCAATTCTGTTAAGGTAAATGAATGAAAATAAAAATTCTATGAATATGGTTTGATTAAACAATGAGAGTTCTTAATTTGATATGCCTTCGAATTTAAGGCCACTGTATATGCCACAAATGAATCATCAAGCTGCTTCTTGAGCAACTCGAACACCACCACCGATGCCACTCTAACATTTAGAGGAAAGAACTATTCTGTTCCTGCATGGTCTGTTAGTCTTCTTCCAGACTGTGAAAATGAAGAATATAACACAGCTAAGGTAATCTCCTTTGCATAAAATCCAAAATCTGATACTAGTTTTGTTCATTATGATCGATTATTATGTTACTAATTGATCCGTTTATATTTTCTTAATCAGGTGAATGTCCAAACCTCTCTAATGGTTAAAGTGAAAAACGAAGCAGAAGATGAGCCAGAAGCTTTGAAGTGGACGTGGAGGCCTGAGAATATTGATGATGCTCTTCTTGGTAAAGTTAATGTCTCTGCAAACAGACTTATTGATCAAAAAGATGTTACTAATGATGCTAGTGACTATCTTTGGTACATCACAAGGTAATCACACCCACTTTTTTTCAATAAAAAATTCGTTTATTTCTCTTTGTTCCTATTCATGATTTTTTTTTTCATTTTCCTTTATGACAGAGTTCATCTCAAGCAAGATGATCCAGTTTGGAGTGATAACATGTCTCTAAGGATTAACGGTAGTGGCCAAGTAATTCATGCATTCGTCAACGGGGAGCATATTGGTAATATTTCATATGCTAAATTAACATTATATTAACTATAGTTGTTAAAAAAATTCAATAACAAGATTTCAATATTTTGATGAATAGGTTCCCATTGGGCTACATACGGCATTCATAATGATAAATTTGAGCCAAAGCTTAAGTTGAAGCATGGAAAGAATGTTATAAGCTTGCTTAGTGTCACCGTGGGACTTCAGGTACCTATAGACCTTGATTTAATTTTGCATATGATAATCATTTTTGTTCCAATTTTACCAATTAATAACATGATTATTTTGTGAAATAGAACTATGGAAAAAACTATGATAAATGGCATGATGGTCTTGTTGGGCCTATTGAGCTGGTCAGTGTAAAGGGTGATGAGACTATCATAAAAGATTTATCTTCACACAAGTGGCTATACAAGGTTGGATTGAATGGTTGGGATAACAAATTCTATAGTGAAGACTCACCCTTTGCTTCTCCTAACCAATGGGAATCTGAGGAACTACCCACAAACAGGATGCTAACTTGGTACAAGGTAATTAATATGCATTTTCTTTCAATGATATTGTAATCATCTTTTATAAGTTAAAGAACTAATTGATGTGTTTATGATTTAAGACTACTTTCAAAGCTCCTTTGGGGTCAGACCCTGTTGTGGTGGATATGCAAGGTATGGGCAAAGGCTATGCTTGGGTGAATGGCCAAAATATTGGACGCATCTGGCCTAGTTATGATGCTGATGAAGATGGTTGCAGTGATGATCCTTGTGACTATCGTGGTGAATATGATGACAAAAAATGTGTTACCAATTGTGGGCAGCCCACACAGAGATGGTTAGTTTTAGATATATTCCACTCATTTCTTATGTTTATTCATTTGATAATAACATGTTTATGTTACAAATATGAATTATTCAGGTACCATGTTCCTCGATCTTTCCTTCAAGATGATGTGAATACATTGGTTTTGTTTGCGGAGTTAGATGGGAACCCAACACTAGTGAATTTTCAAACTATTGTTGTTGGAACTGCATGTGGACATGCTTATGAGAACAAGACCTTGGAATTGTCTTGCCAAGGTCGCCCGATTTCTGCCATTAAATTTGCAAGTTTTGGTAATCCACAAGGAGTGTGTGGAGCATTCACCAAGGGCACATGTGAAAGCCAGAATGATGCATTGTCCATTGTGAAAGCTGTAAGACTCTTACTGTTTGTATTCTTTTTTTTTTTTTTTTTTTTTTTTTTAAAGATTATTAACATGATCATGGTTTAAATGAAAATTTTCAATTTGTAGGCATGTGTTGGCAAGGATGCATGTTCAATTGATGTTTCAGAGAAGACATTTGGTCCAACCGCTTGTGGAGAGATTCCTAAGAGGCTTGCGGTGGAGGCAGTTTGCTAGGAGTTTTATTATTTAGGTTAGTGTTTAGATAATAAATAAAAGGGCAACTTAAGTGTAGATTTCACAAGTTCAACCCCTATTAGATATGAAGTTGATTATGGGTTATGACTGATTTTACTGGTCTTAATAAAAAGTTGCTTTTTGTTTAGTAATGTCTTTGTATTATTTTGCTCTTCAAATTTACTTAAGCTCAAGTCTTTTTATTATTTCCTTTTCGCTTGATTGAACATTTTCATGCATTTACTTTTGATTGAACATCTTCATGCATTTACTTTATCTTTCAGTGAGTATGCTCTTTCTATTTTTTAATACAAGAATGTAGCAGTTAATTGCAAACCGAGCGTCAAACACTGTAATTTCAAATAATTTCCCCATGGATAAGTTTTTAAGAATAAAGGGATAATTATGTACTTAATTCAACAAGAATATGAATTTGTATAGTTTTTCTATTTTTAATAAACACTTATACAATTTTCAGTTGAAATTCATGTGAACTATGTTCAATAATATATTAAATTCATTAAATAAATAAAGGAAGAGAATACTTCTCTTATAATTTGTATTTTTATCTTGAGATGACATATTCTATGCTTGAAATATAATGCAACCAAATCTTTCAGGAATTTTATAAATGATGAAGCTTTAGTAATTCATAATTAAAACTTGTTTATTAATATTAATTTCTCTGTCAGACAATTTTTTCCGCTGAAATGACTTGAAGTTATTAACAATCTTTTTGAGTGTTAATTATTAACATACTAACTCTATGATTCCTTTTATTTATTAAAAAAAGTGACAACAACTTAATAATGCTTTCAAAATTTTAAATAACTTAAATATTAGATAAAAAATAATTCAAGGACATTATATATTCTTTAAAAAATGTGCAAAATTAGTGCAACATGTGTTCAAATTATATATATATATATAAAGATATACTTAAAGTTTTATATTTACTTTAAATTTTAAAAAAATATTATTTTTACATTATATATTCACAAGCTTATAATAGACAAAACACAATGAAAAGATATGGTCAAGTGATTTTAGATAATTTTAAAAAAGATATTGTTGAATGATTTTGGATATTTTTAACTAAATCTCTCACTCATTTTTTACTCACTTGTTCACTTTATTTAATTATTTAGTGAAAACATCAAAAGATAAGAAAAAAATCCAATAAAAATAATACATTTTTCATTTTCAAAAGTGATTAGATTTAAAAATTAAATATGTCAATAACTTTACAACTTCTTTCTTGACCATTGCATTACTCCTTAGTGCTAGAGAGATCACATAGATGGTAAACCACCAATCAAATAAAACAAAGCAATTAAATAAACAATCCATGGTTTGGTTGTCTAAAAAATAACCAATCCAAAACCAGAATGGACACCGACACCGACACCGGATTGTTGACACAGTTCCAGAAACAATAAAGTTGTCCACAACCTTGATACACGTTGCTGGTGAATCCTGAATAGAATGTACCGTATTCTACTATTTACAGCGTCAAAAACTCCACAAGAAAGAGTCATCAACTAGCAACCCATCCATGTTTTCTTCTCCATAATTAACACTAGGCATTTGCGGCATGTAAAAATCACCACTCAAATTATCAAAACCAGGGAAATTCCCGTAATCGGGTACATGATTACCCAACCCATTGGGCGTGAACAAATCCAGAGCCGAACCATTGAGAGTGACGTCACTGTCCTTTTGGATAGTCCTTTCCGAAATAGAAGGCGACCGAGATTCCATTTGTAAGGTTGTCCCCTCTGAGGAACATTCCATAGGCAACAATTTGGGTTGACCCAAATCCCCCTCATGGACCCTTGAGTTTGCGAATCTGGCAGCGGCGATCCGAATTTGTGAGGGTGTCATGGAGCTGCTGGCCGCTATATCGGGTGGGTTATTAGGGAAATTAAACTTAGCATTGGGGCCACGTAAGCAGAACATTGCCGCATCAAAAGCAAGCGCTGCCTTTTCGGCGGAATCGTAGGATCCCAACCAAATTCTCTGGCGACTGTTGGGTAATCTGATTTCAGATACCCATTTGCCCCACTTTCTCTTTCGAACTCCTTTGTACTTGAGATTGCTTTGCTCTTCACTTTCATTGCTCGGCTTCACCATTTTTGGTTTTGTTATATCTTTGTTTTCTACAATCACAGAAAAAATATTTTTTTATTAATAGAAAAAACTTGGTACTTGTTTGTTGGATTGTGGTAAAGAATCTGTGTTGTCGAAAGAGTTTGCGGCTTTATTTATACGTCCAAGAGTGAGTTAGTGTTTGACCATGTTGGGAGGGTTGATTGCCGAACCGAGTGAAAAAGTTTGACTTGTGGTCAACAATCTGCCAGGCGCGTCCATTGGAAGTGAAACCCAGCAGATTCATGGTGACGGTGACTCATCTACGTGGCAGTATTTTTAAGACGACAATTTTGGATCACGTGTGTTTTTTTAAGTCCACGTGAACTTAATCAAATTGGAATATTTTTTTTAAAATTAATGCCTTGTTTGGATAAAGGATCTGGTCTTTGCTTTCTAAATTGAGGACTTATATCATCAATATTTTAAATTTTTTTAGTATCTTTTATAATTTTCTTATTTAATTTATGTAAAAAAAATTAAAATATCTCTTCGTCCTTGTAAAACAAAGTGTGACATGAGTACAAAAAAGTTATTCTAAATAATTTGATTCTTAAAAAGTAGAGATAATATAACATATATAATATAATTACTTAAAAATATTAAAATTTTTAGTTATTATTTGTCAAAACAAGATTAATATTTGTTTAATTTATAATTTATAATTTTTTATTATTAAAAACATATATAATATTTTTAACACATCCAATATTATAAAAGATAAGAAATTATATATAATAATTTTTTCATAAAAATTACAAAATTTAATATAGTTAAATACATTAATATTATTAAATGGTATAATTTTTAATAAAATTTATTATATATTATGCAATAAATATATATTATGCGATAACAGTGACGTTTGTACATTGTGAAGTAGCTAACTGCTGAGGAAAAATGATATAAAGGATGGGGTCATACATAAATCCTCCAAGTGGGAATGGCATTGGGGAGCTTTACGTCATGGGTGACGCCTAAGGGTTTACGTGTGCAACACTGTCTCTGGTAATTGGTCAAACCTATTTCTGATTTTTATTTTTTTTTCATTAACGGAGGAGAATTGGGGAGTAAAAGAGAAAAATGTGAAAAAATTTTAAACTCAAATTGAATCTGATCATTATATTTATGTTTACTAACTCTTATTACTTAATAATCACTGCAAATACTAATTACAATTGTGCCACTCCCCCAGTGGGCCAGTACTGTTATTTACGCTTAATAGGAGTAGTGCAATTTTTTTATGATTTAAATATATTTTTAATATATAAATTTTTATTTATAAAAAATATGTTTTTGTCCTTGATTATTATTCCGTTAAAATTTCAATGTGTAGTGTTAATTATTTAGTATATTGCACAGTAATCAAACCATCCTGTATTAAATGATATGTAGGTAGCATGTTCGATGGTTGGAAGTAAATGAGGAAAATATGAGAAGTGAAGCCCAAAAAATAACTTTTGCATGAGACATGTAATGGGAAATTTTTTCTCCCATTTTTATTCAAATATATTTATAATCTTTTTTACTTGTTTAAATAAACAAATATTTTTATTCTTTATTACTTCAAATAATTTTGTTTACTTTATCTATAATCTATTGTTGTTCTTATTTATTTATTTTTTATAATATAATGTGATTATTTAAGTGATAAGTCTCGATCAACGTGAATAAAATTTGTATTTTATATTTTACATTTAAATGTAATTGTTTAAGTGATAAATCTTGATCAACATTAATACAATTTGTATTTTATATTTTACATTTAAATTAAATTTCTTTCTTCTTAAGGCCATTAAATTTAATGTAATCAACATTACATTCTTTTTATTGAGTGCAATATCAATTAATATGTAAATTTACAACTCATTTAGTAATTTTGAATTTAAGTATTGAATTATATTAGATATTTAGAGGTAGTTTTTTTTTTCTACAGTCAACTCGAATAAAATCATCTTTTATAGAAATTATGAATAATTTTTTATTTTAATTACAAAACATATCAAGGTTAGTTAGTCCAACTCCGCATCCCAATCTCATTGTCCATATGAAGTGTTTTTTAACCCTTGGAAAAAAAGAGAGTTAAATCATTGTTGATTTTGAGCAAACAGGAAAAAAATTATAATTTTGGATATTTAAAAGTTAACTATAGAAAATGGGATATTAAAACGAGTGAGAGGAACAAAGAGATTAATTCTCTTTATTTCGAAAGTAAGAAATTGATTATAAAATTTTGCCTAACTTGCATTAAGATTATTAGTATATTGGAAATTGTGGATTCCTCCCTTGAGCATTCTAGAAGCTTCTATTAACTAACTATTACTATCATATAAAACCCCAATCTTTGACTAGGGTTTATCTTTTCACAGATCCAGCATTATAGTTTCTACTGTAATCCTCCGTGGTGCACACTTTTGATAAGGTACACTCTCTAGTCCATGCATGCAATCCTATTCATCTTTTATGTTTCTTGGACAAATCAACAAAGAAAATTTATTTGAATAAGTTGAACTTTGAACATTGTGTTTGTAAGCTCTCTCTCATTTTGTGTTATTGGAGTGACTCACCTTATCTCACCAAAATGTGCCACTCTAACAATAACAGCATTGTTTGAACAGCTGCAATGGCAACCTCACTGCTCACTGCATCATCGAGGAACTTGGTAGCATTTGAAGGGTTTCCATAATCAGCTCCTCGATTTCCTTCTCTCACTAATTTCAGAATTGCCACTCTCACACGAAGGTCCTTCCCCTCCCTCATTGTCAAAGCCTCCACTGCCACCGTTGTCGCCCCTAAGGTATTTTCTTCTTATTATAAACAAAAGCATTATTATTATTATTATGTTGGTGGTGACGATGATGATGCTTGTTTTTGAGGAAGTCTAACATTAGCATTAGTAAAAGCAAAATTCTTCTTAGACTAACAATCTAACATACTATGCTTGTGTATTTTGAAGGCTTGACATTTATTCCAAGGCCTTGTCATGTTTATAGAGAGCTTGGAAGATTTTGTGAAATGGTTCTTTCCAATCCAAGCCACAATTCCTTTTTTATTGAACCGTTTTTCTACCACTTGTTTTCATTTTCTCTTGTCTTTCCTGCTCGTGCTGAGTTCCAAGACAGCATAACTTGGATGCTTCTCTTCTAGGTGGCCTTTGTAATTGAACCTTATTGTTGACATATATAAGTCTTGAGCCCTGGAAGTTTTTTTTTCCAGTATTTTGGTCTTTACATGTAGATTTTTCATTTCAATGCTTCATGTGCTTGATTGTAATTTAACCATGCAGCACACCGCTGTTAAGCCTCTTGGTGATAGGGTACTGGTAAAAATTAAGGATGCAGAAGAAAAGAGTAAAGGTGGGGTTTTGCTGTCAGCAACTGCTCAAACAAGGCCTCAAGGGGGTGAAGTCGTTGCTGTTGGAGAAGGGAAATCAATTGGGAAGAGCAAGGTGGACATTAGTGTGAAGGTGATGTTACTATATTAGGAATTCATTGACACTTTAATTATCCTCAAATTTTTTTTACATTTGGGTGGAGCAGATTGGAGGAAGGGGGTTGCTTCCTCTTAATTTTTGAACTAATGCGATGCATTTCTTTGTACAGACAGGTGCACAAGTTGTGTACTCAAAGTATGCAGGGACTGAGGTGGAGTTCAATGGTTCAAAACATCTTATACTGAAGGACGATGACATCATTGGTATCCTTGAAACTGATGAGGTCAAGGATCTTAAACCCTTGAATGACAGAGTCTTGATAAAGGTGTGTTACTCTTTGGAGCTTTGTTTGTTTTGATGTTGGATGTTAAGTGGAGAATGGCATTGGTTCATTGTCAATCGTATATTTAATCATCTAATTCTCAAGGTGATTAATGTTCTGCTCATTTATACTTTGTTTTAGCCATATTCTGCTTTAAGGGTGTAGTATTTTCCAGCGGTATGATTTCTGCTTGTCTTACTGGTCTGTGATAACAAGTTAGTGATGCTACCGTATATTTAATGCAGGTTGCAGAAGCTGAGGAAAAAACTGCTGGAGGTGTGTTGCTCACAGAGTCAACCAAAGAGAAACAATCTATTGGACCGGTGAGGTTTCCAATTGATAATTGCTAGTGTTGTATTTCCTGGTCTTATATGGATTTATGGAGTACCTTTGTTGTGTTGTAACAATTTAATTCTTTGCCGAATACGGTTTTTTCAATAAATCTTGCTCATTTTGTTTAAGATTAGTCCATAATCTTTCTGCCCTAATTTGGATATTACAGGTGATAGCAGTTGGTCCGGGGCATCTGGATGAGGAAGGAAATAGAAAACCATTGTCCATTACGCCTGGGAATACAGTTCTGTACTCCAAATATGCGGGAAGTGACTTCAAGGGCAAAGATGGTTCTGACTATATTGTCTTGAGGGCCTCGGATATCATGGCTGTCCTGTCCTAGGAACAAATCATTTATGTTTTCTAACCTATATTTTTGTGTTAATTTCGAGGGAATTGGATGCCTGAAAAATTGCAACTCTGTTCGTGTTAGACAAACTTCGTCAATTGCAACGCTTGGAATTATTGTTTCTACGACCTTTCACCTCCTCCCTGATGGATGTGGGGAATGCCATGGGCTTAGCCTACTTTCTTTGAAACCAATTAGAAAGCATTCAATGAAACAGAAAGAGACTACTGAAATAAATGAAGGGAGGGAGGGAAGGCTACTGAGATGATGAAGAATATAGATGAGCAGAGAAAGAGAGAGGGGATTCAATCACTCCCTCCGGTTTACTTTTCTTTGATATTTTAATTGTTTTATTTTGTTCATTTTTTATTGTCATTTTATAAAATCAATTAATATTTTTTCACAATTTTATTTAATAATTAATGTTCACTCAATAGAAGATAATAAATATAATAGATGGAGGATATAATACGAATGAAAGTATTAATATTTTGTGAAATTTAAAATAATTTTCTTAATTTGTGTAAGAAAACAAAACGTAGGGAGCGAAACGGAAGCAGCATTATGCTCCTAATCGAAATCCTAAACCAACCATAGGGTAGCATGCAGTGGCTTCAGCTATCATACCCAATTGCTTCAAAGTTGAAAACTTCTTTATTCAACCCAAATCCACGATAGTAACAGCCAAAGTCCGGTCATCATAGAATCGACAAATCGAATGTGATGATACAAATCCCGTCTTATTTTCTTCTCATTCAATTTTCAATTGAAAAGTATACGATCGAATATCTTGCATTTTTGTCTCATTAGATTCCTTTTAGGTTATAGCGTATTGGAAATAAATCGATCTATTTGACGGTCGTGCGTTTCCCGGGAAAACGGATTTTAACTAGAACTCAAATTTGAAACCTCTAGTTTCTGGTTGATACATCTTTTTTAAAGGCTTCCCCAAACTCTTCTACGGATCAATATGGCAAGATTTCAACTACCTAAACAGCAGCAAAGATCAATCATGGCCCATATTTGCAAAGGGGAGATAGGAAGGTTATCATTGGACTTTTTCGATATTTTCAAATTTACGACACACACCGGTCTTTTTCACAATGTTCTAATCCTTTACAAACACACGAATAATAATCATAATAATAATACAACTAAGATGAAGGTACTGCAGAATTCCATTGAAGGGCTTAAAAAGAAACTGAGCTTTTCATCCATAATTGCCATTGGAAAAAACGTAGGCACTTTACAAAGAGCTAGAATTGCATCATTCATAATAGTCTGTCATCACTTAAGACACCGCACTTCCCTATAACTTTAACCATCACAAGATTTACACGAGCGAAGCAAAATTTAATCTTTATATAAGAACTTTCATATTATACACTAGGCTGACCTATACTGCTGTACCTTGCAAAAAATGGAAAAAAAAATCCTAATCCAACCTCCACAAGAAAGGTGATTCCAAGGTAGGATATATAAACATTGATAGTAAAGGAATCTGGCCTTGGTGCATTTAAGGGTCTTCTAAACTTCTGACCAGTAAAAGTGGTGTGGTGAAAGAACTAGGATGCAATTATGTCCTATTCTACAATACCCATCAACTGCATCATTTGTAATGAATATGTCTCTTTTCCATTTGAGATATATAGAGGAGAAGCACCAACCAGAAGTTTTGTAAGGTCAAGTTGGTTCTCCATCCAAGTGTCAGTAGTTGACATCCTTACCTGTTAAATGAGGCTGCAGAGTTATCATCATACTGGCCCCTCCATGCATTGCCACTGTCACCGCTGCAAGCTTGATTGGGGATTGGAACAGTACCACCACCTAAATCCCCATCCAAACTCATCTGCTGCACTTCAGCAGATGACAATATTTTTATGCTCTGGACACACGTTACAAATTCACTGCAAAAAATAATAAGTTGGTGGTCAATAAAATCAACCAGAATCACACAAATTTTAGGCTTAAAAACTATTAAGGAATTAGCTACTCACTCCCAAGGGTCATCACCAACAAGAAGAATGTCATTTTCATGATCTACATATACTAATTTCCAGTCAGTCCTTTGAGGATCTTCTAGTTGCCCTTCAATCCCAAACATTCGAGCTAAATCATGCCGTAGTTCATCATAGCCCTTGTAACGAGTGACATCAATGCATCTTCCGACAGAGCCACGCTTTTGAACCTACAAAATTTTTAATTTTGTATAGCATTTGAATACACTATTTAATCTAACAATGAATTAAAACACAGGCAGGCAACACTAAATATAAATCCCAATAAAAGTTCAATTTACACCATCTTAAAATTTCAATGCATGCCCATTAATATAAACAACACAAGATTTGCAGCTGTCAAAGAATGACAAACCTTGGTATATGTTCGCATTCGCTGAGTTTGGTTAGCTCGCAAGCTGCTATTATTCAAAACACCAGTATCATTTATGCCAGCATCACTTGAGCAACCAGGCTTAAAAGGCATGTTTGGCACTCCAAACGACTGTGAGCTGATGTCAGCAGTTGACAGCTCAGTTTCAATGTCTCTTGGAGCACCACCATAGTTAGACAACAAATTTTGAAGATCTTTCGGAGAGTCATATCCCCTTAAAAGCATAGTATCAGGTGTTAGACCATCAAGATTAGAGTCAAATGGTAGACTGTTTCTAGGGTGTGATTGGACATCCCCTTCCATGCAGAAGTTGGAAAGTGGTAAGTTCTGCTGGACATTACCAGGATCAAGACAATAAGATGTTCCCGAAGAAGAAGCTTCCAGTTGATCAGTAATTGCCCCTTTATATTTCAACTGATCTGGTCCTTTTATATTGGGTAACTCATGTTTAATCTGGACATCAGGCTTACTCTGAAGCTCTTGTATCAGATTACTAGTGGGCTCAACTACCAAACTCCCCCCTAATGTGGCTGGTAGTTGCTGATTTCTTTTCAGGAGGTTTGGGGGAGATATCTGGCAGTTATTAGTAGATGGAGAGGTTGAGCATGATGGAGCATCTCCATCTGTAAGTGTAGAGGGAGCTCTAGTAATTGTAAGTGATTTTTGTGTGTTTTGGGGTTGGTTTACAGGAAGATGTTGTGATTGCATGAGAGTTGAAGAGGAGAAGTTGCTGTTGAGAAGCTTCTCTGCTGACAATGGGTGATTGCCAAACTGTTGAGGAATATGCTGAGATACAGGCAGGGGCGGCAATTGCTGGCTTTGTTGGTGGGTGTTTTGTTGCTGTAGAAGCTGAGACTGCAAAAGTGGGCTAGATGTGGAAAGATGTTGCTGTTGTTGCTGCTGCTGCAATGTCTGTAGCAACTGTAGGTGGTGTTGCTCCGAGGGGTTTTGCTGTAACATTTGAGTCACCGGTGGCAGTTGTGGTGCCCTTTGTGGCAGGTTTTGTTGCAATAACTGCAGTGGAGATTGTTGCAAGTGTGTCTGTTGTTGCTGCCTTTGTAAGAGACTAGCTTGCTGGTCTATCTGTTGCTGAAATTGTGAATCTTGTGGTAAGGATGTCAATGGGAATGTATTCTTGTTAGCCGACTGGATACTTTGCTGGGGTGGGATTCCTCCTGGGAGTGATTGTTGTTGCTGAAGCTGAGTATAGGCTCCTTGTGGTTGTACAAACTGATTTGAAATCTGGTTAGAAGCAACTACCCCATTATTCATGATGGTGGCATGTTGACTTGACTGTTGCTGTTTCTGAGGCTGCTGAGGCAGTTGATGCAGCAATGGCAGGTTTTGTGGTTCAGGCAGCTGTTGTTGCCTCTGCTGCTGGAGCTGGTTCATTGGTATTTGCAACAATGACTGTAGCTGCTGTTGTTGCTGGTGCTGCACCTGCTGTTGTTGCTGCTGTAACTGCTGCTGCTGCTGTTGTTGTTGCTGTTGCTGCTGCTGTAACTGTTGTTGCTGTTGCTGTTGTTGCAACTGTTGCTGCTGCTGAGGCCATGATACTGGGGACTGCTGCAATTGGTTGATTTGATTTGGTAAATTAGGTTTGTTAAATTGAAGATTTGGTGCAGAGAGGACAGGAGTTTGAAAGCTCAATAGCTTGGATGGGTCATCAGGGGTAAGGTTAGCATGAAGAGTATTAGATGGAAGCATGGATGGGAAACATCCTGATGGAGCAGCAGAGAGCTGATTGTTCTGCTGCATGCTCATCCACTGCACTAAACTCAAACCAGGAAAGAGTGAACTTGAGGCATCCTTCATGCCAAAGTCATCTCCAAGCCATGGCATAGCCCTCTTGAAAGCATTTTCTATATCTGACTCATCATCTGCAAAATCAATCACAAGGATCACGTCACCACTTATCATGTACAACAAACATACTAGGATAGGAATAAAAGTAAAATGCAAGGTCCTATGAGTGGTACTATTCAACAATAATATTACAAATGAGACTGTACAGAACCGTAAAATTATCAAGATAATTGGGAACTAATAACTAACACAGTTATTGCTAGCTGTTTAACAAGAAATGACCAGTAGAGTGATATTTTTGTTGAAGTAAAAAATAGATATTTGAACTATTTACAAGAAGAAAATAATTTAAGTTACTGCTAGTAGTGAGTGAATCAGAAAAATTGATGGAGACCTGTATGAAACCTTTAAATGAAAGCTGAACTAATTAAGGATGAAGTGTTGCTACCTGGCATTCCTGGTTGCCTGGGGAACTTGGGCCTAAAAAATGGAGGTGGACAAATGTAGAAAGGCGTCACAACTGGTTCAATTTCCCAAATTGAAACTCTGCTGGGGCGCTCGCCAGCTGTTGATTCATCCCATCCAACCTATCAATAGTTCAGAAGATGACTGTCTCAATAAGCCAATAGAGAGGTTCAGTATTACTAAAGTTAGGCACATACTATTACCATAAGGGACAGAAAAAGATGACCAAGCATATGTATGTATGGACCATAGGACCATAATGGATGTTGTAAGGTACTCAAAACTAAGATTACAACAAGAAAAAACATTTTGTTAAATAATAAAGCAGTCTACAGAAACTATTAGCCCCAGGAAAATATGTATACCAGTCATATCTACTTCTTCATATCTAGTTATCTGAATAATTCCATCTATGTCTTCATTAAAAAAAAAAAAAGACAAACGGTTTAGATATACCTGAAGATTGCGCCACTGAGAATTTTTCCATCGGACAGGATCCAAGTCACTGATCCCAGTGATTGTACCCATATATCTGCGTACTCCAGACTCCTCTGTTTCAAACATCATTCTAAATCTCATTCCAAGAGAAACTTGAGTGTACATGGCTTTGTTATACTTGGCCAATGGAATAACAAATTCAGAGGGGCTGGCCCTGTTAAATTGACCGTTCTCTGTAAGAGGCTGTCACAGATATTCAATGGATACCATGCCATTCCATGTCATGATAATACACACATGCCAAACAGTACCTTGGGTTGTAAAATATAGTAAATGGACTGTTATTTGCAGCAGCATGAGCTGCAGCAGCAAGAATGCCAATATGCATGCTGTCACTGGATATTACTGATGAAGAGAGTGCTGGCTGCTGTCGATTAGCACGCCTTATACCTAAAAGAAGTTGTTGTTTCTCATCTCTAAAATAACCAAAACAATGTTACTCAGCAAGGAGGGGTCAGAGTATTCTTGAAATTTCCCCATATAAAATATATATCTTAGGTCTTACCTGATAAAAAGAACAGAATCTCCAGCAAACAGTCTTTTTGTGCTGACAAATACACTCCAACCAGTAGTCAATAGATGCCTCTTTGGTTGTCCTGTTAGCATTTAAACTCTGTAATGCATCAATTACACAGCTTCTATATTCATCGTTTGGCTAAACAAATAATAAGATAATTCTGAAGATTAAGGATTTTTTTTATCACTTTCGAAATTATAGCCTCAGAAGTTTTTGTAATGTTTTAGTTCAGCCAAAAGGAGGTTGCAGTTGCAGCACAAAGAAGACAATATATCCCTTGCTGGTTTAGAAAGCACTAGATTTCACTGGTGCGTCAATAAAGTATAGACCATAGGCTCATCAAAATATTAAAGAAAGATATATATGAATGAAGAATATGTTAAAGTGACCATACCCCTATAGATATGTCTAAATGCCCATGTGTTGTCATGCAAATCTTTGGCGACAAGTTCCTGAGCAGGAGGTTGCATTGAATAATCCTATCAAAGTAATCAAACAAATTTATAGTCAGCTTGCAAACCTCTTGTGATTCTAGCGCATAGAATAAAAAAATGAAATTGTTATATGCGCACCAAAGGAGGGAATATTTTCTCAGCTGCTCTACGAGGCACAGAAAATCCACCATGAGTACTTGTGTCACTAGCTGTAAGAGTTTTGCAAAAGAATTCAGTAGGTTGACGGCTTTGTTTGAGACCCATGTCTGATGCCAGTATTGCTTCTTTTTCATACTGCAAAAGAGGAAAATAAAAACTTTGATGTAGTTTACATATTATTTGCTTGAGAGGACCTTAGAGAAAAGGTGGGAAATAAATCCCAGATACAGTAAACAAATTCAAAGATTGAACAGTTAACCTACTTTGTTTACAGGTTGAAGGGTCATCTGGGCATAGACTTCGTCAGTTTCAGGATCAGCCTGGTCAAAATACAGAATAGTATATATTTCCACATAAGAAAACTGTATTTGATTGTATCAAATTATTGAGAAATTAATAGTATATATTGTGGAACGTGTACATGCAGGGCAACATTGTGAAGCATGCAAATCAACTTGGATGGAAGGTTAGGATAGCTGGGTATGAAATCAGTCTCCTTTTGCATGGACGCTGCAACCTGAAAGTTAAAGTTAAAAGGAAATTAAAATCAGCAACCAATATACAGAAATATCAAGCTCACAGACTCTCATGGCATTTGAAACATACTTGCTCACTATGTCCTTGTGGGAAATAAACCACAAGACTTCCAACAGGAGGCAAAGAAACCAAGGGTCCAGCACAAGCATGCCATAGCTCTGAATTGATTGTCTTCCTTTCCCCTGTCAATAAAACAAGCATAATGTTACTCCTTTGAACAGAAATATAACTGTTAAAATATTTTTTTAAAGCTTTTTTTATTACTGTATGGATGAAAACAACGAAGAAGAAAGATGAAATTGTAGAATCCATGTCAGAGAAGAAGCTCCTTTGACTGAAGATGACTCAGATGAAAACATAAACATTGGCAACTTTATAGTAGCATAATAAAGTTCAGAAGGAGAAAATTTATGTCACTTGGTTACATCTATAATGCGTCCTCTCATGTAAGAGCCTTCTGGGTTTGAAACATGAATAATGTACAGACACATCAAAAACTAACTATTTTAGAAGCTTAAGTTGTTCAATGAAGACACGTGGATTATTTTATGTTACATCTCTAACAGTTTCTTCAAGCATGCTGTTGAAGAAGAGCAGCAGAGCTTCAAAAGGATATATAAAGAATACAGAAAGCAAAATATCTTTTATGGTCGATACTTCTCAGGGGCCAGAGTAGCTTAATCACATGTTTGCAATTACCAAAAGGCATTTTTAGTGCAAAAAGCACAGGAACAGATCTTGCATATTCCTCTTGTATTGATATTAGTAGACCCATTACTCGTAAAGAATATACTTGGAAAGTAATTAAATTCACGTGAAAACCCTTCCTTCTTAATTTTTTAGTGCATAGGAATCAGATTCTCACCGAAGACTATCACGCAAACATATTCACTATTTCCCTTCTCACAAGGAAATTCAGAAGCAACAACTAAACCTTTTTCACAACTTTCTATACTACCATTACATTCAATCACAAACCCAATTAAGTAAAAGATCATCAAGCCGCAGCAAGATAAAATACAGTTCTATTCATTTGCATATCTAAGAAAACCATTTAATGCTATTTTGCACACAAACATGTCAAATTCTCCTATTTATTCCATCTAAAATGCTATTAAATTAATTTAACAACACAAAAGCAGTATTTTCCTTGAAAACAATTATCCTTGGAATCACTGAGCAGGGTTATGTTTGATGAAAGAGGAAAACACAAGGAGAGAGAGAGAGAGAGAAATGATGAGGCAGCAAACCATGAGAAAAACCCACCTTCGCCTGAATTTGGCAAGTAGCCATTAGATGGAGCCTTCATTACTACCGATAAAAAATGATGAACCTCAAACAAATTCACCACATGGCCTTTTCCACCAAGAAGATTTGACCTTGTTTCAGGAGCCTTTCACAACAGGACAATCCTAACAGCACACCCCCCAGAAACGAACACAAAGTTGAAGAATACCGAACAGTGCCTACAATTAATTCTCCACTAATATTGGCTATTAGTATCAACAAAAAGCTGAACTTTTTCCCTCCAATGCAACAAATTGCTAACTCGAACCTCCACGCAACACAACTACTCCAAATTCAACAGCTAGAAGCTTAGGAACCGAGGATTCAAGCCACACAACACAAATGTCATGCCAGTGCCAAATCTCAAACAAAAAGAAGCAAATCCCACAAAAGGAACACGAATCAAAACCAAAACTTTCCGCTGATCAACAAATAATGGAAAGTAAGGGAAGCTGATGACATCCAAGAAGCCAAAATCTGTGCAGCAAAAACAGCTCTCTCAATATCAACACCATGACCAAAAAACGAAAGAAAAACAACACACCACAAAGCCCACTTTCAAAAAAAAAAAAAAAAACTCATGAAAAGAATCACCTTGCAGCCAGCATGACCATATTCACAAGCGTGGACACGGGAAAAGAGAGAAAAAGTAACCGAAATAGAAAAGAATGAAATGGGTAGGTACTGTTTTTTCTGGGGATTGAGGTGGCATAGCAAGGTGATGCAGCCAAGATCAAAGTAGAGAGAGAGAGAGAACAGAAGGCAAACAAAAGCAAGACAGCTTTATTTTTGTGTGGAAACTGAACAAGCCGACATGAAATATAGACCAAAGCAGCAGTCACAGACATGTATAGTTCAACAAGTAAACAGAAAACACATTTTATCATTGCTTAATTGCTATACATAGTTAGAGCATTACCTGTACGTTCAAGTAGTAGTATTTTTATTTAACACAAAATTGTTATTATTATTCATTGTGATTATAAAAGTTGGGCCCATATTCACTGCAGAGTTCAGATTCCATTAAAAAATCGCATTTTTGTGGTACCTTTTTCTTTTTAGCTAGCATAGTTCAAATAAATTGTATCTACCAAAGATTTGTGATGTGAGAATAAATATTTGAATCAAAATTAAGTTTTTTTTTATAGTGGGACGGTGAATTGTGTGAAGGGACTAAAGCCTATAGAAAAGTTGGCGTCCATGTGAGGAGGAGGATTACTTGGATTCAAGAACAATTAACCTTTTCTGTTAATAATGTTTAGAGATCTGGTACAACAACTTATATAGATTATTTAAGTTTTAATTCTTTTAATTATGGTCGGTGACGTGGCGCTCAACTTGATTTTGAACTGCGTGTAGATTATTTGGGTCATAAATCTTTTATTTGTTTTCATTATTTTATGGAATTTTTTAGTGTTGCTGTATTGCCTCTTTTTGAGATTCTTCCTGGATGCTTGGACCCACGAGACTATAAAAGCGATTCATGAAATATGATGTATGATGATTCTCTTGCCCCAAACTTTTCTAAACTTTGTTTATCATAATCATATTAAGCATTAACTTTCCTTTCTCAAGACTTCTTTACTACCCAAAATTTGTTATGTTTATTTAAATCGGTCAAGTTAATATTTTTAAATTAATTTAATGAAAATTTTAAAGTTTAGATTTAGTTTATTTATGATTTGTTTTTTTTTCTTTATCGTTTTTTCTTTCAATAAAATTGTATTTATTAATTTAATCTTGAATTGAAAATCAATGCTAAAAACTAAATAAAATATCATTTTTTATATTCCTAAAAATGACTCGATATTAGAAAAAATTAAAATAATGTTTAAACAAACAAATTAATGAATATTTAAGGAGATAAGATCGAGGAACTTAATTCATCTACGTTCTTATGGGAAATTATAAAACTAATCATGCATAATATATATTACTTTAATTGATGGAAGGCTTTGTTGTTTCTTCCAAGGATGTGCACTCATTGATATTTTGTAAAAAACAATATTATTTAACATAATTTTTTCACCTTTTCTTTTACATTAATGAGTGAGATAGAAATAGAGAAAATAATACTTGATATAAAGAAGTGAGATAGAATAATAAAACAACACGATAATTATCATGAAAGTTAATAACTTTTAATGATATGATAATTTATGATTAGACAAATATAAAAAGATACACTCTCAACATACAATTATTGTTTTTTATTATTATCATCTTACACTAAGAATATTAAAGTTAATACTATTGTTTTACAAAATTATAAATCAATATAGTGTTTAAAAGTTCACATTTTAAATTTCTGTTGTATTGAATTAAGTAAATACAATGCTTTGGGGGAGATATGAGGAGGCAGGGATGGAAATTTTTTAACAAAAATTTGAGACAAAATTTAAAATATAACCGATAAATTATTATTACCATTCCTGTGCTGAATCATTCCTCCCCCTTACCTAGCAATTTTTAAGTTCTACTCTACCTTTCTTTTTGTCTTAAAAATTTAAAATAATAAAAAAAAAAGAAGAAGCTTACTTCATGTCATTGATAATCAATATTTGATTATTGACCAAAGAAAAAGTATCCGCAAAAGAAAAGGAAAAGAGGATTATTATATGTAAGGCCACAGCAGCCACTAATCGCAAAAGCAGGAAATCTTCTTCACTTGTCAAAGGTCTAATTCCTGCTTGAGACATCATTGTACCTTAATTAATTTTAAACTTAACAACTGATCATTCTAAAAAACATAGGATGCCAAAAAGTTTTATTAAATTGTCTATTTTTCTTTGAATCCCTCTTGTAATTTAAATGTGAAATTTATTAAAATAATATAATTTTAATAATTTGATTGTCATTTAAATTGTGATTATATATGTATTGAAATTGCCAATGAACTTACAATCTTACATAGAAGGATTTTAAAACACGATATCTTAAAACTGATTGTTGAAAAAAAATCAACCGACAAAAGTTAATTGTCATTAGTCTTTTAAGTATGACACGACGCTATAAATGAATTTACATCACCAGTATTTATAAGTATTAGTACTTAATTTCCGCACTTGGCTAAGTTGATTAATATCGTAAGCTTAAATATAAAAATTGAATATCACAGAATTTCATGCAATTGTTTTAATATATTATTTCTCCTAATTAAGATTGGTTGAACTAAAATAAGATCCCACATAATATGGATTTAAACCCCACACATTTTTTTATAGGATTAAATATTTTGAGTTTGGAGACTTTTCCTATTCAAATTTGAGACACTATTTCTTCTTTCAGAATCTTTCTAAACTCTTATTTGAAATAAACACCTCGAATAAATTTTCATCATTTTGGTCACGAACTTAATCCTCCGTTTCAATAATTAAAATATGAATGAACATTATTGTTTGAAAAATTTATTGGATTTTTTTTGTTTACGTCGTTCTTAAAATTTCACGTAGTTTGCATTTTAACGTTATCATTATTAATAATATTTTGTGTGTTTACAATTATTTTTCTCTCAGACAAAAAAAAGAAAACTACTTTCATTTTTTTACTGATCTTACAGCTTGTATTCGTAAAGTTGGAGCATTTTTTAAAACGAAATTTAACTTTAAAGGTTGATAAACGATTTTGGATAATCTACGTAATTGTGAAAATAAACATTGCAATGATTCATAAATGATGGAAATATAATTGCAACAGTGGTCAAGATTCAAAACAAAAATCAAATACAAAGTGTTTTGTATAAATCTGTAATTAAAGCTTCCACGCTGTGATAGCTATTCAATGTGGTAAAACAGTCCTGACCAATGCAGAGCCTAGATATAGTTGTCCAACCAGCCAGCTTATATATTTGCATAAGTATTATTTTTTAATGACTGATACTTTTTTGGGCTGTGTCAAACGTGAAAAATGACAAAATAAATTTAAAATTTTGAAGATTAAATCAAAGATTAATATAAATATCAATAATTATTGCGAAGGAGTAACGTAATATTTTAAACAATAAAAATAAAAATAAAAATAATGAATGTCCACAACTTAAAATAATAAAAGGAAGCATTAACTTAATTATTAATTGTATAATAATAACTAAAATAATACGAAAAAAAGAAAAGAAAAGTATGATAAGAAAGACGTGAAGAGAGTGCAGCTTTTGTCTGCATAACTCACTCCAACTCCAACTGCTCTGTAATGTAAACTCTCACAGCTTATCCATCCTATCACTCTGCACCCAATCCCTTCTCACTTGTACGGACACCACCTTTCTTTATATCTTTTAACTTTTTTATTTCTTTTTTTTATAATTTAAAATTAATTATGATAAAATATTTCGAAAAACTACTCTGTAATTTGGTTATAGTAAATTTGAAACTTTTCATCATTTAATTTTTAAGATTAAATTGCTTTTAATAAGTTAATCTTGATACAGTAAATATTTTATACAGTTATAATCGTTAATAATTTCAATTATTCAATATATATATATATACTAAAAAATATAATAAAAAATAAAAAAGAATAAACCAGATCTAACCTCACAATAACTTGTAGATTATTTGTTTATCATTTTTTTCTGTGTATAATTTTTTTTCTTTTAAATTGATGTTTATATTATGCATTTTAGTTTTATTTTATAAATTATATAATTCATGTTTTTTATAATGACACTTGTCTTGTATTTTTTTTATATAAAATTAAATCATTATTCTCTGTCTTTAAATGCATTTTAATCAAATGACATTTCTTTTATTTACATAATAAATACTTTATTTCTAAAATCAATATACAATATAATAAGATATTTATAAACTATTAGTAAAATAATATGTTAATGGGTAAAGCAATATTTAAGATGTAAAAAGATAAAATGTTTATATTTTTTATTTGATTTATATTATTATTATCAGTCAAATATATTATTACATTTCTTTTCTATTTTGCATAAAATTCTATACTATTAATAAATAAAAGAAAATTGTTTTTTGTGCTTTATTTTTCCTCATGCGTGAGAATTAACTATTATTTAACATTTATTTTATATTTTAACAATTTTCAAATTATTATTTATTTTCATACTTTTTCCTTTAAAAATTAAATATTTATTTTCAATTTTTTTCTTTTTTTTTTCAAATCTCAATTTTTTACACTCTCAAACGAATCATCTCGAATCGTTTTTTTAAATTTATTTTATTCAAGCAAAGTTACTTTTTTTAACCTATTTGCTAAATTTAATTATACTTGTTTGTATAATACACACGATTATTGCTTATAACAAATAAGCCATCTGAATTGATTAACTCCATCTTAGTCCAATATATAACATTTTAAATTTCTAGAAGTCAAATTTCTTCTATATATCACAAACTCGTCCTCAGTTTAATTTCAAATCTGATTATAAACGACAAGCAAAGAATCCGATTCCACTTCATAGTAGATTTAACACTATCTCGTTTGGGGCCGAATTCAGATTAGATTCAAACATGACTGGTAGAATGACAATAGGTAAGAATCTGGTCTATCCTAGAGCACCCAAAAGACAAGATAACAAGAACATAATATCAGTACAAAGAAGAGAAAAAGGAGGATCAAAGGAAAAGGTGGGCAAATCTTAAATATGATCTTAAAATTTTCAAGATAGACTCATCCAAATTCATGAACTTATGATTTATATTTTAACCAATGAATAAGCATATATATGCAGCATAATATATCCAATTAATACCTCATCCCTTTTCATTTTTGGGTATTATCTTGTTTTATTGTTTAATATAACCTCTTTGAAAGTTGTCTTATTTTTCTTTTATCACAAGATGAGAAATATATTCTTACTATAGCAAAC